CTGTGTGAGTGAAGAGAATGCTGCTGGCCACTTGACATAGACAGTCTGTGTGTGTGTGTGTGTGTGTGTGCTTGGATTTTCACTGTGCACATGTGATGTATGGGTCCAGGGCAGAAGAGACAGCATGGAGTGTACTGTTAGAGGTCTCATTGATCAAGTCTGAGCATGTGTGTTTATAAAATGTCAATATTCTGTGCCTGCACAGGATACACGCTGTTACATCTCCAAGAGACATTTTTATAGATTTAATACAGGCAACAGTTTAACAAATGCACAGAAACACAAACACAGAAAGACATTTTTGGTCTTGTTTTGATGTATTACCAGATTTTACCAAGGTGGCTGCAATACAGTTTAGTTCATAAGATGCTGTAGAATAACAGAACGGTCCTCCTGCAACTGTTTAACCTCACTGAAATGTGGCCTTCTTTATAGGCCACTCCACGAGCCTTTATTTCTTCTTTCTAAGCCAGTCCTGGGTTGTTAGGATCTTCTTGAAAGGTCCACTTTTGGTTCAGCTTACATTTCTAATTTGTGCTTGTCACAGTTAACAACTCCATTGTGGATTCACCGCATTAGTAAATGAGTCAAAGGCTGTAGTTTGGATCTAGTATACTTACAGTAAGGGTCAGTAAATGCTCTTTTTCTTGTCATGTCCTATGAGTTCAAATGCAGCCCTGGACAAATACACAGTTATTTGGAAACTAAGCCACTTACTTTGCATTCTAATAATTATTTTCAAATTAAATTATTAGATTCCTTGGGGACACTTAAAGGCACTTTATTTCCTAAGGCCTTGAACAGCTCTAAAGACACTGTCATCTTAAACATACACTTAAGTAGCAAACAGAACAGCAGGCTCCACCCAACATGCTCCACCTGTTTCATCATTTCTGACTACTAATCTGGAAAACTTTATTTTCAATATTTACAGTTTGTTTGTTTTTTAATATGACTGATCTGTTTGAATTATTTAACTAATAGCACTTATTTCACCACAAAAATCCATTTTTGAACAATTTATCTGAGTCTAGTATATAGTAGTCTAACTCAATGGTCTCTGGGTTAGTTTGATGGCTAAATATCTTAATCTTAATCTTAGAAAGTCAAATTATAGCAAAAATGTGGTGCTCACCATCATTTTCAGACATATACTGTATATAAAAGATGGAGTTAGCCACAGTGACATCACTAACGCATTTTGCTGCAGCTATTGAGGGTTTTTAGAGGTAGAAATTACTAGAAGAGGGTGAAATGTTATGAACTAAAACCAGGAATCTCAGTCAGCATGCAGAAACTAAAGCACAGACTTCTTGTATGGACTTTACCACACAGGACGCCATATTATCTGTTAGATAATCCCAATAAAATACCACAAATAAGTTCAAAACAAGTCTAGCACTGTGATTCTGGTTAGTGTAGCAGAAACCTAGAGCATACAGTTACACTCCTGATTTTAATTACATTAAGAGTCGCTGAAGTTGAGCATTTTAACATAATATTTTACAACGCTTATATCCTGCTGTGATTGCCGCTCATACATTACAACTCTATTAACATCTGACAGCATTTACAGAGGCACTTACTGGGCAGGGCTCGGGGATGTGTCTAATAAGGCCTCACCTTGGTCAGGGTAAGAGAAAGCAAATACTGCTTTTGTTAAGGCTTGGACAGAGATCTGAGCACCAAAGGGCTTTAATAGAGACCATGCTGTTGTAATTTTAGCTAATTAATGTTACAGGCGACTGCTGAATAAGCTCTGATGTTTGGTAAGGTTGGTTTTTGTAACACTGTTTAATAAGGGTATGCAGGCACACACACAGAAACACATTTTCCCAAAGCACGCGGACCCCATCTGGCAATCTGCTTATAGCTGTGAGATTATGTGGAGTTTTATTGAGAGACTGCTTGTTAAAGACCTCTAGATGGCAATGCTGTCTTCCTGTTCTCTTTTACCTGAAAAAATAGCCTGTCCTCATCACTGCAACCTTACATTAGCAAACAGTGGTGCTTATCAGAGTTACACGATGTCACAGTGTGACACAGGGAAGTTATGTCTCGGGCTTTGCTTAGTGTTTTAAAATCAAACATTAGTCAAACATATGCTGGTAAGAAAACTGGTGAGTAAATAGTAATATAGAGACTTAATGCATGTGGTGTAAAAGACAGTGGCAACAGGATGTCTGCCAGAGAAAGACTATGACCTCAGTAAACATCTTCCTGATGGGTTTATGGTCTAAGACTCTCGTTTCAAGTCTTTATTGTGAATTACAGTCCCCGTTACAGTGAGTCTGGAAAGGTAAGCTTTAGGATGGGCCGTCTTTGTGATTGACAGTTCGCTACCATGTGAGCAGGAATGGCCACATCTGGATTCAAAATACCGACAAGGCAAATGGCCAAAATGCTAAGCTCAGTCTAACAAGATAAGTGCATCCACACAGTATTCACTTGTTTCACATTTTGTCATGTTACAGTCTTATTCCAAAATTGATTAAATTCCTGCTTCACCTCAAAATGTGAAAAACAATACCCCATAACGACTAAGTGAAAATGGATTGCTTCAAATTCTTGCAAATTTACTGAAAGTAAAAAACTGAAATATAGCATAGCATGGCTCTGGGCTTTTCCAACTCCTTCAAAGTCAAAGAATTCAGCTAGACTTGCACTGTAATATGAACGAGTTAAAAAAAATCTCTGCCTTTGCTGAACCATATTTTTCATCTGTATGCAACATGCCAGGTTCCTTTGTAATAATTGCATAAATAAGCAGCAAGGCAATATTTTTCCTTTCTGTTTTCTGGACTTTGGTTGGCTAAAAAACAATGCTAGTATTAACTATATATTAAAAAATGTAAAACTTCCTATGAACAGCTTGTCATTAATGTTTTTGGTGAAACTTGCAATTGAAATTACTTTTACGTTAAACACACAACCACATCTGCATTGACGTCTGAATCAGGAAGGCATCACAGCAATGAGGAAATGAAAAAAAGATGTGTTGTGGGTGTATGTAGCACTGTGGGAGGACATTATTTTCCTAATAATGGCCAACCAAGCAAAGCCAGGCCGCAACACATAAAAAATTAACTTACTCAACGGAATCATGCATTATACTGCCAATCAGATTTAATGTCTTTTTGTGTCAGAACATCCCGGCTCTACTGGATGTCAGAAATGGACAAGTTTGCTTAAAATTCTGTAAACTGAATTTGACATTGTTGGATGACTGCACTCAGTGACCACTTTGTTAAATACATCTGCACATGTACTTCTTAATGTAAATATCTTAGTGCCCAATCACAAGGTAGCAACTTAATACATTTAGGCACACAGATATCGCCAAAACACCTGCTAAAATTCAAACCAAGCATATGAATGGTGAAGAAAAACGATTTAAGTAACAACTAACGTATGCAGAAGAGCACCTCTGATTGCATAACACACCGAGCATTGAAGCAGATGGGCTGCACCAGCAGAAGACCGCATTGGGTGCCACTCCTGTCAGCTAAGAACGGGAAATAGAAGGCTAGAAAAACATTGGGTGATCTGATTAGTTTCAATTTCCTCTCCAGCATTCAGATAGTAGAGTCAGAATTTGGTGTGAACAGCATGAAAGTATTGATCCATCCTATTTTATTCAATTCAATTTTATGTACAAGATGATGCCAGAACAGCAAAGTCAGCTCAATGTAAAGACCCTACAATAATAATAGAGATAACCAAATCAGCAAGCAAGGCAAAACTTCCTTTTACCAGGAAAAAAGCTGTGGCAGAACCGGGTTCAGGGTGGGGCAGCCATGCGTGCAAACGGTTGGGGATGAGGGGAGGGAGACAGGATAAAAAATAGTTGTGCCTGTAGTGGTTGTAGTGTCGTGGTGTCCGAATATTTTCTTGGCACATTTTGGGTTCATTGGTACCAACTGAGCATTGCTTGAATGCCACAGCCTACCTTAGCATTGTTGGTGACCATGTCCATCCCTTTATGACCACAGTAGATCCTTCTTCTGATGGTCGCTTGCAGAAAGACAACATGCTGTGTTATACAGTCGTTTAAAACTGGTTTCTAGAACAGGACAATGAGTTCTCTGTACTCAAATCGGCTCCACCATCACCAGATACCAAACCAATAGAACACCTTTGGAATGTGGAGGAACTGGAGATTGATATCAAAGATGTGCAACTGATAAATGTGCTGCAGCTGTGTGATGCTGTCATGTCGATATGGACCGAAATGTCTGAGGAAGTGTCCCAAAACAAGTTGGAAACTATGACCTCAGCAGATACATGAGGTTGGTCTGACATTTCAGGTTACTCTGCAGAGCTGCATCATTTGCTCAAAAAGACTATCAAAACAAAAACCTTGACTTATTTCCTAGGCACGTCCACAAGCTCCAGTGAGGAAAATGAAAAAACAAAACAAAGAAAGTCATGTTGGGGAAACTGACATTTACGAGTATTTAATTAAATTCAAAATGTAGCTTACAAATGGGAAGGACATGTACCATTTCCAAGAATCTACAACACACAAATTCACTCCGACTCTCTTGTGCAGTTTTTCCATCTTTGGGACGTCTTTTAAATCAGCAAGTTCAGTGCGAATGGAACAGCGTAGCATCACAGCACTCTTTATTTCTGTCCAGTATATCCTATAAGGACGTGTTTGAGACATTTAAACCAAAGTGGAAAAGCCAAAATCAAGTTTCTTCAGCAGAAGTGTCCTCAAATATCAGGCCTGACCAACTCGGGCTGTTTCACTTTCCTCTTTTTAAGCTGTGTGCCTTTTGCATTTTTTTTTTTATAGTGGACGATGATCCACTTAAAAGCTACGACTGACAATGAGACAAAGTCTTATTACAAAACACATTCACAATGCGTCTCTGGCATCTTTGTCCCATTTTTTATTGATTTTTCCAGCGAACAATGAACGAATGAACAATGAACACATTTCTTAAACACGTCTTACTTCACCACTCCCGGCTGCATGAAAAGGACCAGTCGTGGAATTTTGAGAAATTTTATTTTTTCTTGTTTTTTTTTTTTGCATTATTTCTTACAACAATAAAGACGGCACAGAATACATAGCTTTACAAACACAAAGCACACCACCACCTTGGCTGCTGATGCTGCTGCCCTTGAGGGAGGGGGGAGGTTGTGGGTTCCTGGAGGCTGCCAGTTCAGCATTGGCCATCCTTGTTTTCCAAAGACTTCTGCCCATTGGGAATTTGCCATTTCAAGGACCTTTTTTTTTTTTTTTTTTAAAGTTGTTTTCTTTTTTTCTTTTTTTGCAGCATAGCAGAATGAGAACAATGTGGGAGGAAAAAGCTTCTTTTGAGACATGTAGGGGTAAACCAAACAAACAAACAAAAAATAAGACTGTCTAGAATATGATCTCAGCATGTTATTCCAATTAGCATGAAGCAGAAGTAGAGGTTAAAAAAGAAAAAGCTCAGCTGGACAATATGTGAACTAAAGAGCAGTTCCACAGTTCTGCTTGTTTGCGGGAACTCTTGGACAACGGGAATCTCTCCATTTAATAAAACTAACACAACATTTGTCCGCACACCGAGATCAGATCTACCTTTCTCTGAGGTACTCTGCAGAAAAATTACACCACCTAAATCTTGACCATCTAGTTTGAGTAGTTTATTATTACTTACAATTTTTCTTTAAATTCCTGTACAGTCAAATAAAACGTCAACGGATTTTTCAAAGGATCTCTTCTTTTTTAAAAAATACAGAAGGCTTCTTTTATTCCAGCCATTTTTTCCCCCCAACCCCTTCCAACCAAAAAACTGGATTTTGATATTATATATTTCTGTGTGTATCTTCTGATGGTCATGTGTGTATATGTGTGTGTGTGTGTGTGTCTATGTAATTTACACCCAACATTGTAAACATACATAGAACTATATTACATGTGCTTGCACTGCATCTTGTAAGGGGGAGGAGAAAATTTGGTTTACTGCACTAGAACACCACAAAAGAGGGGAAGAGAGAAGGGCGGGGCTTGTGAAGAGAAGAAGAAGAAGAAGGAGAGGAGGACGAGTAGGGCGAGTGTCAAACTCCTTTTCAAGGTTGTGAGGCTCCTCAGTTTGGTTGAAAGCTCAGTTTTAGTGGACAGGCTCTTATATTTATATTTTTCTTAAGCAACAGCTGGATCAAGCTATCAGTTTGTCTCTTCAATAGTGAACAAAAATAAGAAAAGAAGCTTTCTCTAGAGTCATCAGGGTGAAGCCCGCCATCCAGCACCACTGAAGTTCTGCCGAAGAGCTAGCAGGGAGGAGGGGAGTTAGATCCTGTATTAAGAAGTTCCTCTGAGGTCCACCTCCAGCAGTGTGAAGCTACAAGGTCTTAGTGGGCGTTTCCACTGACTTAGTCCTTCAGTGTAAGATCCCTCTATTTTACAGACAGTTATAGAGGTTCTTGTGTCATTGAGGCAGCGGAAACAACTGCTGGCAATTGGGGACTGAAGGTCTCCGGGCCCTTTTTTTTCCTCCCCTTTATTTTTTGCGCAGGTTACTCAGGAGACTGCTGACCATAGTCAGATTCAGCCAAAGTGCGCTTGCTTAGTCATTTGTTCAAGCCGCCCTCCTGGAAGAACTGGCACAGTCTCAAACACAGCTGTCGTGGAGGCTTGGCAGCTGCTGACCCAGGCCGCGCAACAGAGAGAGACAGAGCGAGAAGAACTAAAGATGATCGACGGGGAAGGAGACAAATCCAAGATGGAAGAATGGACCGGAAGGAACAAAGGCAGGGGTTGTGCTCTTTACAAGTAGACACGCCTCAGGTCTCCGGGTGAGGTGATGGTGTTGCACTGTGGGCACAGCTTCTTGTTTCCCTGTGATGGACAGACAAGCAACAGTTAGCTTGGTAGCTCAGAAAAATGTACCAACAGACATAACAATGAAGTGCTCACTCTGCTGATTTGGGACTATGAGCATGAAGTCCAATACAAGTTACCCAGTGCTCTTACTGCCTCCTCCTCCTCCTGTGTGAATCTAAACCTGTTTGCTGCACATCTTGCCTCCCCTTCTGCCCTCTTCCTCTCCCTCTGCACTGCTTTGATAGTGTGCCATCTGCAGTAAAGCAGCAGGTGATAATATGCAACACAGGGCTGACAGCATAACAAGATTCTGAATGGGTGGTCTCACCACTGTCCTAAATCCCTGTTGCTTTCCCGCACCAACTCTGGCCAACAACTGCTGGCTGCAGGCGCATCCCTTTCTGACAGAGTCACTGTGCTGAGTTTACACTTAATGACGCAAGAAAAAAGAAAAGAAGCCAAAAACAGACCATAAACAAGTGAAGAATAGTGGCACAGCTGGAGTCAACTAGGAAAGGATTATATGATGTCATTGCTATGAGGAAAGTCTTAACATCAGAAGTGAAATGCACCCGTTGTGTTTCCCACAGATCTAGGTTCTATTTGTTGTAGATGATGGGGGGGGTGGTTGGCTGGTGTTGTGATAATAAATAACTGAGCGACTCCAGCGTCTTGGACCGCAGCTTGTTCTGCTGCCGAGCTTCATAAGGTTGGCATGAGACTTTAGTATAGACTTGAGACTTTAGTATACGGCACACAAACGTAGGGTGTAACATCTGACATGGGTCCAACACAATCTGGAGATCTCGTTTGTATTTTGTGCACTTTTGAAACATTAATCGGTCAGCATAAATGTACCTCTGACCCCCGAGGATTTATAGGCTTCAATTCCTGTAAGCGCCTGAATAAACTCTTTAAAGCAGGTGTACCGATTAAGGGCCTAGACGGGAGTGATTTGGGAGTGACAGATGTCACATGCTAAGAGGATATGTTGCTCCACTAAAAAAAAGTCCAGAGTGAAGAAGAAGGGATGGGATGTGGGGTGTATGGGGGAAAAATGGAAAGAAGAGGAGTTTGGAATGGTTTAAAAAGTAATGAACATTTTCTTCAGAAATACCTCTCATAAATCACGTATCAAAGCATTGTTTAATATTATAAATTTAACTAAGTGTTATTTAAGCGATTTTATTGATACTCTGTTGAGGGAGCACTTCTGTTTGTTTGGAGGCCCGTCAAAGCTTTCTGCTGTTTACTGTGGGCAGTGAGCATGCATGGGTGTGTGCCTGTTACACTGGGCTCCAGCTGCCTCGCTCATTAAAGCGGTAAGTGGCTGGGCTGATGTTAACTAGATTCCTGGGCATTTACTTTGATCAGTTTGGCCCTCCCGGTTTTATAGCTGTCTCCAGGCTATGACTTTAATTCCCCATACATTAAACCAGCAGTGGCAGGATGCACGTCTGTGCACACACCTACACAGAAAACACAGGTACGCTGCAGATGGAAACAATGGAGTGCTTTCTTTTGAGCAATTAATAACAGAAGAATTAGAAAGCAGGCTAACTAATTTATTAATCAGGCCCAGACTGCCTTTCTGCTCGTACTCAAATGAAGGCCTTCTTAAATCACCTTAAACTGAAAGCATTTTTCAGACAATTATTAGCATGAATAAGGGTGGTAATGGTTGGGACTATTAGCTTATGTTGCTTTTATCTGCTATCATGTAGCTATTCTACTGGACCAAACCATTTCAGAAACACCACATTTAAAATGTATAGCTGCATACAAGGCTGAAATAGTCATCAGACATTCCCATGCATCATTCATCATAATCCCTGGAAAAATAAAGTCTACTCCATTCAGTCCTTGACATAGACCAGGGGTCGGCAACCTGCGGCTCTTTAGTCCTTCTACTGCGGCTCCGTGTGGTTTGGGAAAATAAATTAGAAGTATTTAGCTGAAGTGTATTTTATTTATGTTAGTTCTTTTTTAACTTGTAGTTCTAAATTGGAAGATTATTGTGATATTGAAATATAAAAATAAAATTATATTCTATTATTTTTTCATCGCTCAAAATAAGCGTCACACTCGCGGAAGCCGGTGTACCCGCCGAAACGCCGCGCATTTATCGAGACTTTCAACCCCAGGTAGGCCAATTATGGATCTTCGGATCCACATTATGTCAGCAGCTATTCTCCACCATGAACTATGTTAAAAACAAACACCGCTCACGCCTCACAGATGAAAGCTTACAGTCCTGCGTAAAGATGAAAGTGACTTCGTACAGCCCCGATTTGCAGACGCTGTGCGCAGAGGTTCAGGAGCAGAAGTCCCATTGTAAACATATCACGGCAGACCCGACGATGTTTCCATGAACATGCTTTTCAGCATCTCTTTTTTGAACACTTTACACACATGGTTGCTGTACGCATACAGCCGGCTGTAGCTTTGCAGCTCACAGCCCGACACATACCAACAACAGCATAGAGAGCACAGACGTTAAGGTGGCGAGGCGTGATTGCGGGTGCCGCTCAGGTGCATCGACTTCTCCTGCAGCGGTGCTGCAGACCACGCCCCGCCACACACATAAACCAGGCAAAATACATATTTAGGCAGAATTTTGCAAATATCTATTTTTCATCTTTTAGCAGCATAGTGCTTTTTTTCCAGTTATTTTTTAAAAGTCAGATCAAGGCTCCACAAGCCCAAAGGCGATATGAGGGTGGCGACTCACAACAGTTGTTGTTTGCTACATGGATCATTTTAGTTCAGCTGGGTGTCTTTCCTTTTGTTATATTTCTTTAAGAGTTCAAAATGTGTTAATTACATAAATAAAATGTAATTTTCTCTGTAGCACTTTATGGATTTCATAAGCAACACACCTTAGTTGTTCACACAAAGCATAAAGGTAAAAAACAATATATACAGTGTTATCTTCATTTTAGATGTGAAAAAGTATTTGCGACTCCCAGTGTTTTCTTTTGCGTCAAAACCGGGTCCAAATGGCTCTTTGGGTGTTAAAGGTTGCTGACCCCTGACATAGACGATGTCACATGGTTTAACACACTGAATCTAATGCAGACAGTGGTAGCTGGTCCACCAATCAGCAGCCTGCCTAAGCCCAAAAAGGATAAACTGAGCAAAGTGTGAAGAGTTTTAGAGATTTGAAACTGCATCTATAAACTGAAGGTGATTCTCTTCATTCAAAACACCAGCGAGATGCTTTAGACTCGTAAAGACTCAAGAAGACAGCTTCGATTAGAACCCTAGGACTGCTGATGCAAGGCTGTCTGCACACTAACCCAGATGTTACTCAGGAAGTTCTTCAAAATTGTATAAATAGTGTACTGGCTAAGGTGTACTCAAGTTTAACATCTTCCCCAGGGTTAGGGTTAGTCAAAATATTCCAGCAATCAATGTTTTTACATCATTCAATGAAGTTAAAAATCAAACTTTTTAGGACACTGATGCAACTAATACTGTATACAATGATGTGGCACTAATGATCAGCTTATTTGTGATCGTTTTCCAGGTGGGACGGGCCTGTGGGTATGTTGATGAGTACAATTAGGCTTCATGGGGAAAGGGCGGCAGGGGAAACAAGGTGAGACGAGAACATTGACAACATCAGATATTTCATGGAGGGAAAAGAGGCGATAAGAGCAAAGACATCAGAGAAAGCTGTTACCCTTCTGTTTACCCTTCCAGCTGTAGGAACACTATTTTCTTTTGCGCTCCATTTACCACATTAGCAACAGCTAACTGCACACTACTGAATATATTAGACTAACTAATAACCAGCAAAACTGCAGTGGAGGGGCGTGTGTGTGGTGTGTGTGTGTGTGGTGTGTGTGTGTGTATGTGTAGACCTAAGGCAGTACATAGAAGCCAGTGGAGGCTGAAGTTGACCACTTTATTCCAACATTTTAACAAGCCTTTTGGGGACCATTCCATCTAAGCCTTTCCCTGACTGAGGCTACAAGTGTTTGCACTGAGCGTGCTGAGAGAGAACGGGTCATTTGGGGAACATTCCATTTTAGTTCCTCCCTACGGGGCATGAATACAGAGAAAAATTCACTGACTATGAAATGAGGCCGAAATAACTGCATGTCATGAGGACTTGCCCCGTAGCACTGAGTGTGTGTGCGAGTGAGATGAAGTGTGTGAGTTTGAGCGTACCAGAGTCCTGAGCCAGCATTCTTCACAGTGGACGTGCCAGCACTGGATGGAGGTGAGCGGCATCGTGTAGGAGTCCTATTTAAAAAAAAAAAAAAAAAAAAAAATTTAAACTACATCGGATTCACGGGACACTCACTTTAGCTAGCAACAAACAAGTAACGCTACACAATCCCTGACCGACAAACAGCATGAAATCACTAACCACGGAAAGACAGCCAGCAGCCACAGAACCACTGAGCAAGGCAGCGTATGGGAAATTGAACCGGCAATCTGCGGGTCACAAACGTACACGCACACGTGCACAAACACGACATCGGCCAGGCAACGGGCAGAGACAGAGGGAAACGGGCAGGGAGGGGGGAGATGAGGGAGGAAGCCGTGAACGAGCCCTGCTGGGCGTCCTTTTCTTTCCCTCTGGAAAAGAATGGAGATATGAGGGAGGAATGAGGTGAGGGTGGGAAGAGGAGCGGAGGAGGTAAGGAGGGAGGGAGTGCCTTACCCTCCGTAAGGGCTGTGGGAGGAGCCTCTTTATGCCGCTGCTGTAGCCACCAATCACAAGGCCCCTGTACAGGCAATACAGGCCGAGGGGGAGGGACTTAGGCTGCCTCTCTCCGACCTCATTGGCCCCTATGCTCTTGAGCTCCGCGCCTGACTGGATAGCAGGCTTCCTCTGCGGAAGGAGGAGGAGGAGGAGGGAGAGGTGGGGGTTGGAGAGGAGAGGTTGGGGGCGAAAGGTGGCAGCTAATCACAGAGCCAGGCTTGTACTGATCGCGCACACACATACACCAAAGAGCAACAGAAGACGCGTGTGGACAAACACAAACCCACACAAACATCACGGTGTGTGCTAATGACAGCCAGAAAGTAAAGTGAGGCTTTGAATACAACTTCTTCCACCTTTGATTGGATGACAACTAGGCTAAAATGCTAAGTCAACTGGAAAAGCTCAGATCTTCAGGAGTTTTATCTCATTGGTTAGATTTTACAAGTGCGAAGAAACATTTACACTCTGAAAGTGCAACTGAGGCGTGAATGTAAAATAAATGGCTTTTTTTATGCTGACCCTTCACTGACATTGCTAATGGAAGAATGGGCTAAGTTTTATGTATATACCACAAAATGACAACAACAGTCGCCTCAATGTGCTTTATATGTATATAAAGACCCGACAATAATAACGGAGAAACGCGAACAATCAGCCAAAACCCTATGAGCAAGCACATGGTGACAGTGGGAAGGAAAAACTCCCTTTTAACAGGAAGAAACCTAGAACAGAACCAGGCTCACATTACAGTCTTATTTATCAGTTTACTTGTAAAGGCTCTTTTGATAAATATGTCCTTGTAGTATTTTTTTAAACTTGGTCTCTTACAGTCACCCAGTTTAATTAAGCAAAGAGCAATACTACACTGGCTAATCTGAAAATTCAGGCATGTTTAAATGTCGTTGAAATTTCCTTATATGGAAACAGACATTAAGTACATCTAAGTAGTCTTCAAACAGTCTAAATATTTGCAATCAAGCCCATCAACAACCTTACTTTAAAACTGAAATATCTCAATATTTAAATATCTGAATATATTGAATTTCCAAAAGTAGTTTAGGACAATCTTCAAGCACATTTTAAGTTCCTTGCCCTAAAATGACCAATAGATGGGGGTAGAAACCCACAGATAGTGCTGAGCTGCATCACTGAGATACCCTCAGCATCAGTAAAGGCTAACAGAGAACTTGAGTCAACTTGATACAGAGGGCGAGCATTTCCACCAGACAATCAGAAGGTAAAAATGAGTAAGAAATATTTGCAGAAATATTGGTGTAGAGGTGACAGCGGTGGCGTTTAGACTGAGTCATACATCTGCTCAAAGTGTTTGTGCATCTACTTGATGCGGTGGAATCTCCAGCTGCTTCAAAATCTGCCAGTTAGTGAGAGTAATCTGATGACATTTAGATCAGACCCAGTGACAGGGAGGGAGCCCAGTGACAGGTTAAAGACAGACAGAGACAGATTAGATGGAAGAGGCCTGTGTGTGTGTGTGTGTAGACATATTTGTATTTCTCTGTATGGCTTAGTGTGTGTTTGTGTGTGTGCGTAAAACAGATGAGGGACAGTGACAGATGAGCAGAGAAGAGCTGTGTGCTCATGGGGCAGTGAGTGATCGATCGCTGTGCCTTGCCCTCCGTGTCACCTCAGGCACCCAGCGACCTTTAGGAAGCGCAGGCGCTGGTAATTACCCGCCTCACATGCATACACACCAACAGGCTCACACACACACACACACACACACACACACACACACACACACACACACACACACACACACACACACACACACACACGCAGCAAGCACAGGATGCCGACGCTGCACTGTCCACACGCTTGAAGAATGACAGGGTGGGTACTTGACACAAAGTGGGGGTACACAAACACTGATGTGAGGTGTAGGCGCAACTGCATCTCAAGTGTCTGATGGACCTCTATATTGTCCCTCATGGCTTTAACTATTGATCTGTAAGGTCCAATCAGCCATCAATACAAGCTGTGACGTACAGGAGTGTCTTTTCACCTAAAAAGTCAAACTTCGACACATTTTTCACAGATTTAACCTGCTTTGTGCAAAGCACAGTCAGGACGCTATCTCAGAATTTGAACATACACATATTTCTGTGCTCCTGAGATGAAGCTTGACATGATAAGAAAAATGATTCGCTCTGGAAATGTGATAGCAGACAATCGTGCCAAATTGCAAAGCCATGCAAAGGGCCACAACACAACAGCAACACAACACCAGCAGCACTCGGGACAGTGAAAATGCTCCCACGAAGAGCAGAAATGAGATGCGTGCAGGTAGGGCTGTTCAATATAACGATATATATCGGATGGCGATATAAAAACGTCTATCGTTTCATTTTACGCTATCGTTTGTTTCGTGGTGTTGCAAAATAAACTGTTTACAGCAATATTTTTTCATCTTTTTGATGGTCACTGTAGTGGCTATATTAATTTCTTAAAGTTCTCTCTTTCTCTTATATTTAATATAACCACACTACAGATGGACAAGCGCCTGTTTTTATGCGTTGACGGTAACACCATCACATGTCTGCTTGTTTATGTTCCACATAAACCTTTCACAATAAAGTTCAAGATCCTGTTGAGACTTTTCAAAATAAACTGAATCACGTGAAAGAGCAGATTATTTACGGGTGAGAAGTAAAAAAAGAGCCGCCAGGTGCTAAAAAATAAACCTTAGACTCAAACGTTAGAACAGGCTTTTCCCCGCAGCACGCCGTGTAATAAATACTCACAAAGAAAACGGCGGCCGTTACAACTTATGTCTAAAAATGTATCATTTCATGCATCGGTTAAAACACTCGACTCCAGCTACACGACGCCCAGCTGGAAACACTTCACGCAAGACGAGCTGCCCGAGATTCATAGAATTTACAGAAAATGTTACATTTTTGTGATTTATATCGTTATCGGGACGATAGAATTCTTATATCAGGATATGAGATTTTGGTCATATCGCACAGCCCTACATGCAGGTGCTTCACATATTTCTGCAGCACAAGTACACAACCTATAGTAAAACACACAAACATTATCGAACAGAAAAATCGGTCACTCAAACCGAGCAGCTAGATATAAAGATAAGCACTCTGGCCACAGTGAGTATATTTTTAATTTCTGTTTGCTTGAAAAAAATAGGTGAGGGTAGAGGGTTGAATCCCTCTTCAAGGTAGAAAGTGATCAGTGGTTGCTACTTACATCCACTGAATGCACTGACTGTCCCAAAAATACAGCACATTCTGGTATTCAGATAAGCCTGTGACATGGGACAGACCTTATCAGCCCTTGCTACGTATCTGGCCTAATAAAGTGGAAGGTCAGTTTATAGCCCCCCCCCCAACCGCAGTTTCACATGTTTATGGTGCTACATGCAGTTCGACAAATGCTAATGCTGCCTTCTGACAAAGCCACAACACTTCCACTGAAGCTCGACGTACAGACAGCACTCATGTAAACGCTATGCTCACCATGCAGATGAGACATTTGTATCGGTCTCCTCGGAGTATCTGCTTCTCCAGCTCTCTGATTCGAGCCTTCAGGGCCTCCATGGTGGTTGCCGTGGACTCTTCCTCCGTTACCCTGGGAACAAGCAAGAGAGACGATAGAGGTTTTAAGTATAGGTCTACACCACAGATGACGCGCCCACTCTCACACTCTTGTAACAAGAATTGTACAGTTGTGTTTTCAGTCCCATTTAATAAAAACAAATAAACATTAGGAAACAGGAACATTGAGATTTAGAGTATTTTATGCTACAATGTCTCAAAGTTCCACAAAACAGTGGAAGCTGGATGAATCTGCTGGGTGCTGAACACAAGAAAAAGAAGAAGAAGAAGAAAAAAGTAATCTTTTATCATCAACAACATTGTCCTTAGTCACAGTACAACATCACTGTACTGTGATCCTGCAGTATACAGTGGGGCAAAAAAGTATTTAGTCAGCCACCGATTGTGCAAGTTCCCCCACCTAAAATGATGACAGAGGTCAGTAATTTGCACCAGAGGTACACTTCAACTGTGAGAGACAGAATGTGAAAAAAAAATCCATGAATCCACATGGTAGGATTTGTAAAGAATTTATTCGTAAATTAGGGTGGAAAATAAGTATTTGGTCACCTCAAACATGGAAAATCTCTGGCTCTCACAGACCTGTAACGTCTTCTGTAAGAAGCTTTTCTGTTACCTGTATGAATGGCACCTGTTTGAACTCATCATCTGTATAAAAGACACCTGTCCACAGCCTTAAACAGTCAGACTCCAAACTCCGCCATGGCCAAGACCAAAGAGCTTTCGAAGGACACCAGGAAAAGTATTGTAGACCTGCACCAGACTGGGAAGAGTGAATCTACAATAGGCAAGCAGCTTGGTGTGAAAAAATCAACTGTGGGAGCAATCATCAGAAAATGGAAGACATACAAGACCACTGATAATCTCCCTCGATCTGGGGCTCCACGCAAGATCTCATCCCGTGGGGTCAAAATGATCATGAGAACGGTGAGCAAAGATCCCAGAACCACACGGGGGCACCTGGTGAATGACCTGCAGAGAGCTGGGACCAAAGTAATAAAGGTCACCATCAGTAACACACTACAACGGCAGGGAATCAAATCCCGCAGTGCCAGACCTGTTCCGCTGCTGAAGCCAGTGCATGTCCAGGCCCGTCTGAAGTTTGCCAGAGAGCACATGGATGATACAGCAGAGGATTGGGAGAATGTCATGTGGTCAGATGAAACCAAAGTAGAACTCTTTGGTATAAACTCAACTCGTCGTGTTTGGAGGAAGAAGAATACTGAGTTGCATCCCAAGAACACCATACCTACTGTGAAGCATGGGGGTGGAAACATCATGCTATGGGGCTGTTTTTCTGCCAAGGGGACAGGACGACTGATCCGTGTTAAGGACAGAATGAATGGGGCCATGTATCGTGAGATTTTGAGCCAAAACCTCCTTCCATCAGTGAGAACTTTGAAGATGAAACGAGGCTGGGTCTTCCAACACGACAATGATCCAAAACACACCGCCCGGGCAACAAAGGAGTGGCTCCGTAAGAAGCATTTGAAAGTCCTGGAGTGGCCTAGCCAGTCTCCAGACCTCAACCCCATAGAAAATCTGTGGCGGGAGTTGAAAGTCCGTGTTGCTCAGCGACAGCCCCAAAACATCACTGCTCTCGAGAAGATCTGCATGGAGGAATGGGCCAAAATACCAGCTACTGTGTGTGCAAACCTGGTAAAGACCTATAGTAAACGTTTGACCTCTGTTATTGCCAACAAAGGTTATGTTACAAAGTACTGAGTTGTATTTTTGTTATTGACCAAATACTTATTTTCCACCCTGATTTACGAATAAATTCTTTACAAATCCTACCATGTGGATTCATGGATTTTTTTTTCACATTCTGTCTCTCACAGTTGAAGTGTACCTCTGGTGCAAATTACTGACCTCTGTCATCATTTTAAGTGGGGGAACTTGCACAATCGGTGGCTGACTAAATACTTTTTTGCCCCACTGTATTTGTGTTAAATCCTATGATATGAATTTAATGGACTACTATCTTTCTAGAGATGTATCATTCTCTACACATGTTCATTCTATACCATCTGATTAGGGCCCTGTGCATGCTCCTGTGTAGTACAACATGTTTCAAGTCAAAGTCTTTGTCGATACGCTTTGTCTTTCTTGTAGCTCAATAAACAACAAGACCTCTTTGAATCTTCCTGACTTCTCTTCTTCCTCAGGTCAAACAGAGTATTTACATCCTTCTATTTAACACGTCTGCACTCTCAAAGGACTCATCGCGTCGCAGACTTTCGCTTAAACATCTTATTGTGTTGCTTTTAAGTCTCACACTCAGCGTCCATCCTCTCTGTTATGTTTTTGTAGCTTCTCCCATGTTCACCCATGCCAGTCTATCGCCATGGCTCTGTATTTATCTCCACATCGCCACATGTCCTTGCTTCTTCATCCCTGTCTCCTCCAACTTTCTCTTTCCTTATATCCCCTGTCCTCCCTACCGGTGAGTGGCCTCTGATTAATGCGCAGCATGATAACAGAAAATGTGCGTTTAACACTGTCCGACAGCATATGAAGCAGCGATAACTAGATCAATAGGGAAGACGCACAGACCGCAACGATGATGATGATGACAGTGATTCGGTGGAGGGAGACGAGCCGCACAAGCCAGCTGGTGTTTATTATAGCTATCCACTCATTCTCTGGTAAAATGCAATAGTTGTGTGTGTGAGTGTGTGTGTGTGTGCGTGTGAGGTATAAGCAGTGTGCGTATTTATGGTGATGTGGTCATTTTGCAGCCTGATAGCTAGTTGATCTATGGTATTGATCTGGATGGGGAAGGACAAGCAGAAGGAAGGAAGAGATGAACACAGTAAGTGGCTGTGTGTGTGTGTGTGTGTGTGTGTGTGTGTGTGTGTGTGTGTGTGTGTGTGTGTGGCCTAGGACATGGCTCCATTTGCTGCATACTCAAACAGTAGTGGGGAAGTGTACAGGGGAAAGGAAACGGGGCTCAACTTACTTAATTTCCTCTCAACGTCTGAGATTTTGAAAATCTATTTTTTGGACCACACCGGTAGATCTACATGAATTCACATCATCAAGCAAGCTCATTAAAATAAATTGAACATTTAAACTAAATTGAAGATTAAATTAAAATTAAACATTTCAGGTTTGTGTGGTGATCAGCAGACTTGTTCAAATACCTCCATGATAATCTGATAAGCTTAGTGGAGGAAAAAAAATTCTAGGGGTTCAACCTGAGACTGTACCCACGTCTGTGGTCTCTTTGGTGAGATTCTGGAATTATATCACAATAAGTTTATTTAAGCTGATGAACTAATGACAGAGTGATAAAAACAGTGGACCGAATAATGTTTTGGCTTCTTTCTCCCAAAAGGAATTCATATCTCTTAGATCATCAATGAAGAATGTCTGCATTTGGCCCTGAAATTGTACAGTGAAGGATTGCTTTATTATTTAAAAAAATACTAATAAAAGATCATGAAAATCATTGGTTGGACTGATGTTACAACAGGCTTAAAAACAGCAGCGCTGCAGCTTGTAGGCACTCGTCTTGCTAAAGATTCAGCAGGATGACTGTTTGTCGTGTTGTGGTTGAAATGCTTCCGGACCAGCAAAGCATCCTTCCCTATTCCCTCTTTCAGATCTGTGGAAAAAAAGCTGACCTGCACTAACTCTTTCCTGTAACCTCATCATCCTCCCACCTTTGTAAAGGCCTGTCTTGACTTGCCACCCTGGTGCCCTATAAACTGCTTTACCCTCTCCTCTTATTAGCACCGAGCTTGTAAAAAGCCATTTAGCCTTGATTAGCCTCTAGCTTATAAAGCAGCCGTGGACTCTGGGCTGGACAGAAGTCATCCCTCTAACAAGGCCGTCTTTTTTCTTTTTATCAGCTTCAGTAAACAAAACTCTTCCAAAAGGGTTTCTTGTCTTGTTTGACGCGAAACGAAACAAGCCAGCAAAAAACAGTTTTACTTTTGCAAACAAGTGTGTAGAAGTCATTTTCTAACCGCTCACTTCTACTTATTTTTGTTTTGTGGTAAAACAAGTTCATCTTCTTTATGCAGCTGTGGACATCTAGAGAGGGAGTGTGTGTGTGTCTATGTGTGTGTTTGTTGGTGGAGAATGTAGGAGGTGCAGAGATTTAATGGAGGTAAAGAAGGGAACAGGATGACTTCACAGGGCCAAGAAAAGGAAAGACAACTCTCTGGGGCTAAATGTGGCATGCAGGGAGATGAACAGCCTCTTACAGAGCAACATGCACAAGTGAAAATCCTTGAGTTTAAGCTGGCTCTGGGGTTTTCAGTCTCTGAGCCAGAATAAGAAAATTTATCTCACTCTGGGAGCCAGGTTTCGAAAACACATCATGTGGACTCAGAGAAACACATTAACATCTTAGGCTGGGCTACAACCTGAAAGGTAAGACATTTCTGTAACAGTCCTAAGACCTCTACACGCAGAGCGCATGACAAAAACACCACTATGTAATGTATATACACGGCAATGTGTTCTCAAAAACAGGCACTGTGGAAAAAAATGAAGTATACAAAAAAAGGAAGAAACGCAGATTCTGGGTTCATCCAATTCTCACGAGAAGGCGGCAGCAGGAGATGCAGCCCGATCATTTTCTTACATATTTTAGGATGTGAGTGGGGCAGTTGGAGCTCTTGTTGGTAGAGTTGGGTCCACGTCTGAGGATGTTACATATGATTTTATTAATTGTTAACAACACTGTGTGTGTGCGTTCTTATACAATGTGGTCCAGGCTTGGTAGGTTTCAGCTTGTGGCCTTGATCTTTGAGCCTAAAGTCATGAAACCAGAATAAATACTGAAACAGAACTGCCATCAATACAACATGCCTCTGCTCCAATGTGCTTACTGCCCCACGGGGCTTTTTGGACAGTGTGTGTGTGGGTGTGCATGCATGTCACTGAAAGAAGGTGAAATAGCGATGCATTTTCATCTCGACTCATCCCCGTGGTGAAAAAAGCAAGCAGGAAAGCCCGACAGAGACAGATTGATGGCTCTGCTTCCCCTCTATTTAGCGCTCTGTCCCCAACTTGTGTGGGGCTATTCCTCATTTTATTAGAGTGTGTGCGTGTGCGCAGCTGAAGATCTCTACCATCTATCTCAATCAGCCCTGTGTCTTAATCTACTGTCTACCTACATTTTAGCCTCACTCAGCTTCTCTCTCAACACAAGCACATAGAAATGATAAAATTAGACGGTAATTAATTTTTTGCAGCACATTGCAAACATTTTATCAACCAGGTGGAGACACAAACTTCTCACATCTACATGCTGTAAAAACAACAACAACAACAACAAAAAAAACAAAAAACAGCAGCAGCATCGTTCTCTTTTGCACCCTGTTAACCGAGGCCTTAACTACACTCACACACCATGATAAAACATTTAAGTCACTATTGATTTCCCCTGCCCAATATATATGTGCGTAGGCCTCAGATGGCGAAAGGCAAGGGGGGGAAGGGGCATCTTGTAAGTGCCTCAGAAGAATTGAGACAGGGGACAGGAAGAAACGAACAACAGAAATGTGAAAGAGAAAAGCAGGAGGAAGCGAGAGACATGCAGCTTAGCGACAGAGCAATAAAGCGAAGAATGAGAGGAAAAAGACGAAGACAGGCTGGGCGGCGTGTATGTGTACGTGTAGGTGATGGGGAGGAGGGGGTTACAAATCTAGCTTCATCACTTCCAAATTGAGGACAGATTCAATTATTTGCAGAAACCACATGGAAATCTCTCCGCATTGTTCCAGCTGGAGCACCAAATTTGGCAGCAATCGCATTGGCGGCATTGGAGGGGCCATTTATCTTGGAGGGGAAAGAGCGTCTCAGGCGCTGTACGTGTGTATATGTGTATGTATGCGTGTGTGTATGTGTGAGCTCATTTATCTTGCAGGGGAATGAGCAGAGGAACGAGGACGCCCCGGGAGGCGACCAGATCATTACCCATCTGGGATCAGAGAGAGAGAGATTTCACTAACGCTGCCCTGTGCAAAGCACCGTACACACACACACACACACACACACACACAATGTATCAATGTAACGAAAGGAGACAAATCTCATTTTCATTTGGGGACGGAGGAGCACAGAAGCTCCACAAATACGTGCATTTATAGTAAGCAGAGAGGAGTGATGCAGGGAATTGTTCCAGCCAGCCGGCTGACTGCTTGTTCCAGCGCAATCATTCAGCAGCTAGTTGGCCTCCTTTAAATGGATACTTAAATTAAGCCATGCTCTGCTCCTGGTGACCACTAAAACCTCAGCTAGAGTGTCGTGTCTTTGGAAACGCACACCAACACCAGCATTGTTAAAAAAAAACCCAACAAAAAACAAATGCACATGCAGTTATAGAGTCTGCTGTACAGGAGTATTTGTGTCAGTCAAGCTGAAGAACGTGAGGAAGGAAACCTGTCCCTACATAACACTGGATGTGGAGAACCAATCAGTGCGGTCAGATTGCCACCTAACCTGTCAGCATCTTTTTCCCTCGGTCACATGCAAATTAAAACTGGAACGATCACGTTGCAGACGACAACTTATTGAATGCATCCCCTCGCTCAGCAAACACACGCAGTTCTTGCCTCACGGTGCTGTTTCTGATCAATACAGTTCAAGCTGCTCTGCTTATTCGCCAGTTATCCCTTCTACTGATATTTAATATGGACCACGGACATGCAGAGTGCCGATTGATTTATTTCAGTGAAACATTTATTGCATTCAGCCTTCCAATAGTTGATGGAAGCACGTTATGTAAAAGTGTAAGCACACATACAGTCAAACAATTCAATTATTACCTTGCAACTCCAGGAAATTGGCCTTAAACGCGCATATCAGGAATAGAGAAATGCATCACTAAGCCTTATAAAGAAGGCAGTCGAAAGATCATTCCACTTCACGTTTAACTGATCCATTTCAAAAATCCAACTAGTGTGTGTCCACGTGTGTTTTCTCTGTCACCTACTTTTCAATCTCGCTGTTTTTACAGGTGCGTGGGGCGCAGGAGGAAGAGGAGGAAGACGAGGGAGTGCTGGGGTCTGTCTTGCTGCTCTCGCTGTTGCTTGTTGAAGGCATCTCTGTAGACACAGAGACAGGTGACCCGTTCAGTGCTGGCTTTTTAGCCTTTCCAACATATCCTGAGGAGACAGTTATTTTGTCCCTACTTACCATCACTGGCCCATTTGGAGAATTCAGGTGTTATTCTATTAGAAGGCATCCCCCCGCTGTAAGACAGAGACACAGATGTCCATGTAAGTGGCAGCTCAAGGTTACTAACTCAGGTGATTTTCAGATTTTCTGGCAGAAAAATCTACTAGTTAAGCTTTTGTACTTGAGCACAGCTCCCCGTAGCGCCTCTCGCTCCCTGGCTTCTCCCTGGTCCTCTCCAGCACCGGAGCAGGGGATGATGTCGGCCTCGGTGTACTGAGCCTTGCCATACTCCAAGGTGTCGTCTCCATCCACATCAAGGTCGGCATCGCTGTCTGCGGCGCTCTCTTTGATGCTACACGTAGCAAAACCAGTTGCTGAGGAAAAAGAAAAAGTAAAGAGGGCCATTACTTCGCTTTAACAGCAAAACAAAAACGCTCCATGCGGGCAACAACATTTGCATTTATTTAACAACTCCACATCACACTTTGACATTAACAAAAGTCCAAAATCAAGTAAAAATATACTTGCAGCTCCGTGTCATACGCACCTCTGCACAAAATTCATCAAAATAAAAGCACCACTACAGACACATTTTTGGAAGTCAAAACTGTGAAGAGCTTTGTCTATTTAAGCAACTTTATAAGTGCAGTGCAGAATTACCATTGCTCAGACATTATTCTACACATCATCAACATACAGATCCAGAGAGAACCAGCTTAAGAGGGCACAGACCACACCAAGACCTGGAGTAACTTTCCGACACACTTCAGAACTTGACGATGCTAAATTTAGCTCGTCTAAAACTTCGGCTTCTCCAAACCAAATTAAAGACTTTTCAATAACCTGGACAGGTGAGAAAGAGAGCTAGATTTGGTCAGAGACAAGGAGGTGAAAGGGAGACGGCACACAGAGCTGGGCTGAACTGACACCAGACTGACACCTTACCCATCAATCTTGGAGAAAGAGAGAAGGAGAGGGAGTGTGTGTGAGTGGCACTTCTATAAACCGAGTGATGAACGCTCAGACAAACTCTTACCGCTGCCTGACTGCTCCCTTCAGCTCCACTTAGCCACACAGCTGGCTCTGTGTGTGTGTCCGTCACTTAGAGGTGTCTCTTCAGTGTTTGTTTGAGGCTGTCTGTCCTTCTGTCACTTACGCTCCTGTCTCTCCAACCCCTTGAAGGTGTGTGTGTGTGTGTGTGTGTGTGTGTGTGTGTGTGTGTGTGTGTGTGTGTGTGTGTGTGTGTGTATGTGCAAGTCTGTCTACCCGTCACTTACACCATGTCTATCTACCACACAGAGATAGGTAGGTAATATTTATATATGTGTGTGTGTCACTTACACCTTGACTATTGGAGCCATGTGTGTTGTAACTCTGAAAGTGTCTGTGTGTGTCTCTACCAGTGACAGGCCTGACAGCCATCTTATTTACACCTATTCCAATTTCTACAAGCTCTCAGCTGGACTAGTGTTTTGTGTGTGTGTGTGTGTCTGTGGGGGGATGGAGGACCAGAAAGAGTTGACAGCCATCCTATTTAACCTACCTGTCCCGGTGTACGAGTCTCAAAACTAGACTTCCCATAACAGTTGCTCTTCCCCATCTCACTCCACTACAGAGTCTTAGTCAAAGTGCAAATCCGACACTCTGGCTTTCATAAAAGTTTTTCTGGGATTTAAACGTCAACTGCTTCTCCTCCCACCTAACAATGTAACTCACAGGAGGGGAAAAAAGGTGCCACAGATACTAAGCCGTTTTACAATAGGCCCATGGTTTTCAGTGATCAAATAAAAAGAACCTTTTAATTTTTATTTGGTCTCAGCGTTAGAAGGGAACATATGGCGGCAGTGGCCGTGCAGTCTGCTTGGTCCTCGGGCATCAGCTTATTGCACTGCAGAAGAACAGCGTGCATGTCACATTCATACATTTTAATGTAATGACATGTACAGTGACTTACATTTGGATTTTCACACTTTTTCCTCTACATTTTCAAAGCATGAGACTTAACTTGAGTGTCTCTGTACTATCAGAAAATCAAGCCCAACCTTACTTCAGAAGGGCCACCTCCATCCTGGAAGATCAGGTGTAGATCAACGCCAGCCCACATCAGCTGATAGCACAGCTACTATCCTTTTGGCTATCTCATATAGACAACGTCGAACTAAAATCAGATCCAGCTGTTTAAGTCAAGCTCAAACAGACACTGAATGCAAATATGGGATCAGTGCATCCCCATTACCTCCTCATCTTATGTCTTTATTGTGAATGGCTGTCGCTCTTCACACTGTACAGTTTACAGCATCTCACTCCTTAAACTAAATCAAACATTGACCAAATCGATCCTAACAGGAGTGGTCATAGGTAATATTTAACCAGTCACCAGGGGTATTCAACAAAGTCTTTTGAAATCATGAGCAATGAACTGTGGCTTCACCTGTTTTTAAAAACTCTTCAAGTATCACTTTAATGCCCTTTAATAGCAGGATGCAGTAAACAGAAATTTTGACTTTTTATATATACATATATAAAAAAATCCTTTAAAAGTTTCTCCTGTGGTGGACATGAATGCATGGATGCTGGTTTTTTTTTATTCAACCACCTGGACTTCAAAATATAATGCCACACATGGTCTGGGCTGTGTGAACACACGCTGTCCCTGACTCTAGTGTATTCCCTGAGAGTGTACGTGTGGCCTGCTTGCTCTGTATGTGTGCGTTACCGTGCTTCTATCTGTCCCTGTAAGCAGTCTTGGCAGGCCAATCTAATCTGGCCAGGGAAAGGTCAGCCCCACTCTAACTGCCTTTCACTCACATTATTCATCAACGCCCCCTCCCCAGTTTCTTTTTTTACCCTCTTTGCCTTTTTCTTTCTTTTTCTCCCTCACCTTTTCTTACAATCACTCCTTTTTTATCACCTTTATTTCTTCACTTTCCTCCCCTCTCTTCCATTCTCTTGCTTCTCTTTCACTTTGTCATCCCACCACTCATGTATCACTTGTTTTCGCTCCTGTACTAGCCCTGTTTGCTGAACTATGTCCCCTTTTTCCTACCACACACACAAACACACACTCCTACAGGGCCACCCTGTTTTGTCTCATTATCTAACCTCTCGTGAGCGTCGCTGACTCTTTAACATGTAAACTACGCATTTTATCCTCCAGGTTACATGCTGCCATGGCAGCAACAAAAGAGGCCCCGAATTTATTAACATATCAGTATAACAAGGCCACAAGTACAGGTCTGAACAGGCAGCGAGGATCAAAGGACTCATCAGGCCTACTGGAAGCGCTGCTCAGCCAAATCATCCACCTCAGCAACATCCCGTTACCATAGCAATTATCGAGACTCTAAGAAGCAGAAAGAAGGCATGTCAAAGGTCATCACACTATCTTTCTGCCATTTACAGGTCACAGAGAGAGAGAGAGTATTGGGGGGGACACAGACACAAAGACATGAGACGGTCATCTTTGAAGTCCATTTACAAAGCACAGGTTTCTCCTCTTCTCAATCCCTCTGGGCCATCTCATCCTGCAATAATCCCCATCTTTCCCTACTTGTGCTCTCAGAATGACCCAATATCGAACCTCAGGATCTGTCTGCCTGCCTCCCTGCCTGCCTTTCTAGTCATCCATCTGTGACGGATCAACTATTGTGTTCCAAACTTTGAATACATTTTACAACTTAGTGATGAGGTAAAAAAAAAAATAACCCCCCCCCCCCCCGAAAGACAGGAATAAAGAAAAGTGGGACCCACAAATAATAACATGTGGGGGAAACACAGAACATTTACATGTTGTATTTGAAAGCAATTAAAAGAAACATCTACAGATATTCATGGCATGATTATCTGGGTTGACACCCAATGAAGTCAGAGTCAGTCAACTAATCCCAGCGAGCCAAAAGCTTAGACTTCGGCTGCTGTACACACCAGGTTTTAAAGACTTTTTTTCTTCTCTTGGATCTGTGTGATCTTGATAAAAGGGGAATCGAATCATGAAAAGCTACTCTCAATATTCCAAGAATAAATTAAGAAGCTGGATCGGAGCTGCTGCCCCAAGTGGGGCATCTCGGGGTTCACCAGTGAGGGGACTGGGACATTAGCAGACAGACTGGGGCTACAGTGATGCAGACACTGCATCAGTTCATCGTTGCTGAGCGTAAAAGCAAAGCTGACCGGTAGCAGTCAATGTACGTCCCTACTGTCACCTATGATCGCCAGCTTTGGTAGTGACTGAAAGAACAAGATCACCGATACAAGCTGCGGAAGCTTCAGAGCTTCCTCTGAAAGTTGCCTGGCCTTTCCCTTATACACAGGGTGAGGAGTTCAGTCGTGAGAGAAGGGCTCCCCCACACTGAAGCCAGCAGTGGTGGTCAGGCATCTGACTTGGATGCCTCCTGTGTGAAGTGTTCCAGGCATGTCCCACCAGTAAGAGGCCCCATGGCAGACCCAGAAACCCCTTGGTGTTACACCAGATAAGCCGGAGGAGGTAGCTGATGGATGGGATCTGTGCATTTCTGCTTAGGCTGCCGATCCAGTGACCAGGTCCAGATAAGCGTACATGACTAAATGTTACCTGAAGAGACAACATTTTCTCCCATCTTTCCTAAAATTTCCATATTGAAATCCTAAATGATGAGGAAGCCAGGCAAAAGAAGATCAAGATCTTCTCAAATTCAGCTTGGAAGTTTTGAAAAAAACAGAACATCTTCAAATACCTCCATCTTTGGAGAAAGAACTATTATATTATATTTTATATTATAAAACATTAAATAACAGGGAAAATGCATTTCTACTAAACCACACACCCTTACAAGTAAACCTTTTATTGTAAACTGCAAACTTAAAGTCGTACCTTACCCATAAAACAGACAGACAGTCTACTAGACAGATAAAGAAATCCCTGTCTGTGCTATATGGGTCCTTTCAACCTTGCTAAGCTGGTGCGAGACAGAGGGAAGTCTTCCCTCACACTGGGTTGAATCATAAACGGATCTTGTTCGATTTTTTTTCTCCCCCTTCCTCCCTCCCTTAAAAGCTCCTGTTCCCTCTGCCTTTCTTCCTTGTGCTCTGAAAGGGAGGAAAGGATGGTGGCACTTCACAGAGGAATAGGCCCTCTCTTCATCTCGCCAGCTGAGGAGGCCCCCCTGCAACATCTCTATAGCCGTTTAGTCAGCCGCTGGCTCTCAAGAGCCCGCTGGACTCAGCAGTGTGTGTTAGAACCACTTTAGAGCTTTCAAGACTAAATCCACCTTCTAAGCTTTCTGCCGAGTGTGTGCGTGTGTTTCAAGTTTCTCTCCCCAGGCCACCTCGGTTATCTGTGTCACATCACAAGGTGCCCTATTAGAGTGTGGCAGAAGGGTCCTGTGTCTGCTCGCTTTAACGACGTGAAAGCGAGATGGACGGATGGAAGGAGCATCAGGGAGATGGATGGACGGGTAGGGAAACCACCTCCCACCCTGTGAGCTGCACTTTGTCGCGGTTTAGTTGAGACTTCGACATTGATCTCTCTCCTCTCTTCTCTCAGCAAGGGGAGGGAGGCAGGTGAGGCTCAGCGTGTGTGTGTTTAACAATGTATCGAACAGGGAGAGGGGGAGGCCAACGGGCAGCAGGACAGATGAAAGAAGAAGCTGAGCCAAGAGAGTTTGAACGAGCCTCTTAGAAGCAACGACGAGTCTTTGGATCCACCTGGGAAAATCCTGATGAGTCGCGTTTCTCTTCTTCCTGTTTCACACATAAACACAACTGAGGCCACTATGGGGCATCTATGTGGAACACAACCATCAATCAGTTTTTCCCTCCACTTACCAAGTTTAGGGCTGCAGAGGGGATGGAGCCTATCCCAGCAGTTATAGCCTGAGAGGCGGGATACACCCTACACCCTAACCCGTTGACGCCATCCAGCCCCACGCACGGGGCGATCGAGCCACAGTAACTCGTTAACGGAAATTTGCCACGTTAATGCAGTTATGGCGTTAACGTCATTTTAACGAGATTAACACTGACAGCACTAATATTTAGTAAATAAAAGCAATCAATGAAGCGCCTTACACCTATGCTGTGACTCCCTGTGAAAGGCCTCACTCCATAACTTTGTCAACACTTGATCCTTGAAGTATTTTAAAAAATTGTGTGAAAAAGCAGAGAGAAAAAGACATAATTAAGATAAAAAAAAAAATTATGGAAGCAGGAGGACAGAAAAAAGTGATGGAGAGCTGTAGTGGGAGCACTGAAGGTGTGTGGTGTCACACTCATATTCCCCAGTGACCAGCGCTCCCATCTAGTTCTATAATTGCATTTCTGGGCGCACACACAGGAGCACACCACGTTGACCAGCGGGTCAATTGCCCAGCTAAATGTGTTTTCCTTCCCCCTCGCCAAGAGGGCCTTGTAGGGCCGAGCCAAGCTCAACCGGGCTGACCCCAGGCCAGCCAGCGCTGCCACTGGACCGCTGGCAGCATTACAGCTCCCGTGGCTGCATTCACCGCCGAGTCTCTCAGCCTGACAGTGCTTGCGCTGCACATGAGCACAGTGAATGATGGATGAGCAGGGAAACAAAGCTGGAGACAGAGAGGAGAGGACAAACAGTGCTGACTGCTGTGACTGGACGCGACCCTGAAATCGTGACGGGTCGTTCAGTGTTCCAGCAAGCGGCTGGCTAGACATCTACATCATGGTGCGGCACACACACACCGCCACCGCTGAACAAACTGCTTATCCAGAGGATGCGCAAACAGCCGGCCTTGAGTGAGTGTAAGTGTGAAATAAGAAGCAGTGCTGAATAATGCGAGTTGTGTGTGTGTCTGTGTATGTGTGTGTACCTCTGAAGCCTCCCTCCAGCAAAGCTGTAGCTCTGATCCTCTTCTGTCCCGCCCACTCGTACTCCTCAAAGCCCCGCCCATTTTCTCCATCCATGTCAGCAGAGTCATCGTCGCCTAACGCTCCCTCGCGCTGACGCACAAAAACAGACATGGACACGTTTTAATCACAGATAGTGCTGTGTACAGATCAGTGTGGAACAGCTCAGCACCACTTAGCGACTTCAACAGTACACTGCTTCCTCTCTTAAAGTTAAGGGTCGGTGGACAACAGGCCAGATCTCCCCAGCATGCTTTACCTGAGCTGTACCACACAGACCAGATGCTGCTTATCTAAATCATGTGGTCAAAGTTTTAGACCACATTTAGACGTTTAGCTTAGTCAGCAGATTTGTTTCGTTGTTCCTGTTGTTCAACAACTATGATAATGAATAATTAATTCTTTAACCACATCTTCTGGTGCACAGTTACAGACACAGCTGGTACAGTACCGGGATAAACAAAGCATGCTAGTGGAGAAAAAAACCCAAAAAACAACGTAATAGTGTCTCTACTTAGTGTAATGGACAGCCATCAGTGAGGTGAGATACAGGAGGAGTAGTGAGTAGGTTTTTTCTCTAGTCTACTCTAGGAAAGAATGTTTAGAATCTACAGGAGAGAAGGAGTGATGTGATCTGTGGCAGGAAAAGATAACACTACTGAGAATTTAAAGAAAACCAGATTGTCCTTAATTTGATTTGTGTTCAAATAAGAGTAACATGTAAGTGCACAGGAGTCAACCACATCATACCAGATAAACTGCTTGTAACAACTGATGCTTGAATACTTATCAGAATTAAAAGGTCTAAACATCGTTTCCTGTAGATTTAGATCGTAGCTGTAGTGATAGTCGTGGTTTGCGTGTGCACACCCAAACTTTTCTGAAGGATCTATTAATAATACTATGAAAAGAAATCCTCTGCAAATCTAAGTAGGATGACTTATAGTTAACACTCATGTAATACAACACAGTGCATTTCTCGTGCTGTGGTTGGGTCCAGCTGTCCAGACAGCCACGACTAATATCGAGGACTGCACAACTTTGACATAGCCAGTTGGCCCACGGTTAGGGAAGATAAGGCCAGGGCTGCTGGTTAACAGTGGCTGAACTTTCAAAATAAAGAAATTTTGCACTACTAAAATATTGAAGTATTTGCTTGGACAGGCTAAAAATAAGTTGCCATATTACACACATGTATACCTAAAAGTCCTATCAAAGTAAGGTCTGTTATACTTAAATCACTGGACTGTTTTTCTGAATGCTTTGGTTATTCAGGCAGTTAATCCAATATGATGTGACTGCAACACCACCATGTAAAGGAGGTTAAGAGGCAGTAGGGGTGGCAGGGGAAGAACAGTTGCTACCGGTTGGTTTCTGCACTACTGGACTGACGTGACATCTACAAGAATTAGAGAAGTGATTGGAAGGGAAGGGCTGACAGGCTGTCCGACCAGCAGTAGGCAGGGTTCAGGGCCCAGATTGTACTACCTGGATCAGGCATTGTTCCACATGTCTACTCATCTCCTCCTCGCTCCCAGCCAATGGGGCGCTGCACAGCGGACATACCTGGCCCCCTTCCTCAGGCTTCCTCCTCTTCATCTTCCCTATACGGGCTGGAAAAGCACAGAGAGAGAGAAAAGGAAGGTACATGGTTTAAATTAAGTAAGCTTCCGCGAATGTTTCTGAGGATAACATCACTGTTTTGGGGAGAGATCTCAGGAATTTTGTGTCAGATGATTCTTAACAAGCCTGACCAGTATGACAGTTCTTTACAAGCCAACAGGAGTTTCAAAGGAAGCTTGTGTGTCTGCCATGTGTTAATATGTGACACTCTAAATCTCCTTCCTACTCACTATAGCTATGAGACTTGCTTCCATCCTTTTGCTTCCTTCCTTTTCCTGCCCTTCCCTCCTGTCCCTTCTCCCCCCACCCCCCTACCACACACGCACATTTAATTAGAAATTTAACAGAGCAGAACAGCCGTCATTGCACCCCGAGTCTCTGTCGTTTTTTCTTAACTGCAAATGGCGCGCAGGGACATTAATTTTTAGCTGGCTGGGAAAAGAAAGGAAGCCAAGAGGGACTGTGGCGAGGCGTGGAGGGAGAGGAGCGGGACACGAGGCAATACGCCATAACTGCAGGGGGAGAAGATGAGGGAGGGTTAAAATGAGAGACGGCCTCCTCCTCCTTACTATTTCTCCCCTGACGCTAATTGAGAGGAGCATTGTTAAATCGAGAGGGGAAAAGACTGCTAATTAGGTCTGGCAGGGCTCCCTGCCTCCCCCAACTCCCACCTTTTGTACCCCACGTGATTCCTGGTTCCACGTGAGGGCGAAGGGCACATTCTAAACTAAGCCTTCACTGACACTTGTCATAGACTTGGACTAAAAATAAAAAGAAAGGAGGTGTTTCATGATCTGCATTAAGTTTGGAAACCAAGACGGTAAGCATATTACCGGCCACTGTGTTAGGTACACCTGTTCATCTGCTTGTTAACGCAACTATATATATTGGCCAATCACGTGGCACCAACTCAATGCATTTAGGCATGTTGACCTGGTCGAACGATCCGCTAAGTTCAAACTGAGTATCAGGATGAGGAAGAAAGGTGATTTAAGTGATTCTGAACATGGCAGGGCTGCTGTGATCATTTCAGAAACTGAAATGACTGAACTAATCTGCTGGGCATTTCCAACCATACGGAAACCATTCTGTTAAGAAAACAGTCTGAAAACGAGTAAATATTTAGTGAGCGGAGCTTCTCTGGGTGAAAATTCTTTATTGATGCCAGAGATCAGAGGACAGTGGCCAGACTTTGACCCCCTTAGTACTAGAATGTTTCCAGTGCCTTTCTGAATCTATTCTGCAAAGAATTAAGGCATAGAGCACAAGACTAACGCAAAAGAGGACCAACCTGCTACAAGGAAGGTGTGCCTAATAAAGTGGCCAGCGACTGTATATCAACAGATACCCTCCATGTTGTTCAAATATGTTCCAAGTATATTATATATATATGTTTACCTAGAATGAAAACAACAGTTGTTGGTAAAAGCTAGCTTACTTTCTAAGTGCTAACAAACCAACCATCAAAGCCAGCTTATCTGGAGAGTTATTCAGCCACACAGTCCCACAGCAACCAGCACGAATATTCAGTGACCTTGATGATCCCAGACCAAATAATGTGCCTGAAATTTCCCACTAATATATTCATTAGTATACTAATGTGCTTAAATTTTAATGGCTAACCCAAAAAGATAATCAGTTTTATAAAACCAGAATCACTGCTCAGTGGAACAGTAGGACATTCTGAAACGTTCTTTCCATTTTAGTGATGATGTAATGCATTTTATTTTAAACAATGTAAATATAGTTAACTTGTGTTTTGCAAACAGATTAAGGACATATGTAACCAGTTACATGGCTCAGAAAGCACCGGTTGCAAGCTTTGAAAAAAAATCTTTGAAATGACTTTTTTTCGTCTTTGAGAATTCCATAAAATTCCCTCAGAGCAGCATTAAGTTGCATTTAACAGCCTTCTGGGAATGTAGCGGTAAACATAAAAAGCCCAAAGTGATGCTTTTAAGAGCTGAAAAGAGCTTCTCCCATAGGGACAAGATGCATTTGGCATATTAAAAGAAAGAAGGCATTCTGTAGTACATTTATCAAGACACCGAGTGGACGCGTTTAACACAAAGAGCCCACGGAAAATTCCTAATGCAAAAAGCATCCCAGTAAAATCCCCGGATGCCCCTTCTGGAACACCTCTAGTCTTCGCAGTCAAAGAAAAAAACTTGAGAGCCAATTAAAATACACAAAAATATCACAAGTTCCTTTAAATGAAAGAACACACCTGCCATAAGTGATTAAACAACAGGTAATTGATGATATCACACAGCACAGCAGAGAACAGCTCTTCTGATGTTACACTGCTACAGTAACACACGTCATCATTTATTTATGATCACTTACTTTCATTTTCATTTCATCACTCACTTCTGTATTAACTTTTTATTCGGCTGTGTGACTTTACAGCTATGAGATCAATTTTTACTTTATTTGACGCTCATCAATAACATCCACGTAAATCAGTATGATTGCTCAGGACCAATAAGAAGTCCCAGCACTGTAATTAAGTCTCAATAAGGGCATTCACGTCAAGTATATCAATCCAGGGTTATATCATATATATAGTTAGAGATATTAAATCACTAAAGAGTTGTGTACATACCATTCAATCTCGTTTGCCTGTTTGCCCGAACTCGTAAAAATGTCTGCAAGCAGAGAGGGGGAAAAAAAGACAGAGCAAACATTCATTAGATGATGAGGAAACATTATAATATGCTTACAAGCACTAATATAACTGCTTATAATGGGATTGCTTTGGATGCTGAGAGCACTGTAAACAATCCTACGTACTTCTCTCTTGTTTTCCACTTCCTCCATGCCTGCTAGCTTTCTGCTAGCTCCGTGTACAGCCGCTAAAACTCTGTCTGCGAGGTGCCACACGGAGCCTCCACACACCGAACATCAGTGCAAACTAAGCGCTCTGTCTACATATTCACACGGATGGAAAAGGATTGAAAGTGGCGCCCGTTTCGGCAAATATTGCTCATGTTCGACGCCATGTTGGCTTGTTTTGATCATGTGACCGCGCTGGAAACGGAAGTCAGGAAACGTCACCCGTCGTTTCGCATCTCGGCCGCTAGGGAGAAGCAACGAGGTTCATTACGCCTCACCCATTGAGAAAGTTGGTGATTTACATGCAGGCCAAGGACAGGCAGCTGCTTTTCTTTATATAAGCTGCTAGAAAAGAGTGAGACAAGTGTGAAGATAGTGTTTGAGAGTTTTTAAAGTCTGGAGTTAGTGAAACTTAGGGGCTTTAATGTTAGCAAATGTAATTAAATTGTCAAAAGTAACAACTTGGTCTCCTGACTGCCTCAGTCCACTATATTTGATATTTATTATATTGTCAGAGTGCTAATACTGATGCATTGGCAGGTGATGTTAACAGTTTTATTACTTGAGTCACTGCAACTTTTATCATTATATAAATTTACATTTTGATATTTCTTTTTTATAATATACACATTTTTATAACATGCAAACTCAAATAACGGAACTGTATCTCCCTTTTGTATGTGAAGGCAACATCTAAAAGTATTTAAGGCACTTGAGTGAATAAACTCGGTTACTGCCATCAGTGGGAGAAATGATAAATCGTACATTTATCTGAGTGAACCTGAAACTTTTGAGGTCCTAGCTGGGTCATGTTGCCTCTAGTAAATTCCTTGCTCCATTAAAAATAATAGTCTTAGCAATAAAAGTACAGCATTGTGAAATTAAATAAGTGATGATTTCTCTATCAAGTCTACTTCAGTCTCCTGCAGAATGTCTGGCTCAGGTCTACTGGGGTTCAAACCCACATGGCCTGCATGTCTTTAACTGTATGCTGACTAAAGCACTCGCAGTTATGGATACCCTCTCTTTGACAGGACAGCAGTGAACAAGCAGAGGTTCAGTCCTCACCGACAGCCCGTACTCTGTCAGCGGGAGTCATCAAGCAGCCAGGCCTTCACCTTCTTCTCGCTGCTTCTCTCCCCTCCCCGCCAACACTTGAGTTATAGGCCTACTTGCGGCGCATCGCCTCTGCTACCGTATCATTATGATACACTCAGCCAATGCTGCAGATAGGTCAGGTTTTTAGAAGAAGCGGAGAGGCAGAGTGAGTCCACCTGACAGGCAGAGAGGAGGTGGCAAAGTCTGCCATTATGCTTTATTTTCAGGGTGCTAAAAAGAGTCACCATTGACTTAATCATTTGTATAATATAAGGTGATTTCAGCAGTTTCACTTAATGAGAAAATCTCCTTTATTGCTATAAGGTCTTTATGAGCTGTGTCATCCTCAACGTATGGATGTTACGTCTGCATGGACTTAATAGTTCTTATTTTATGGTGTCGGGGGGGAAGCCCACTTAACCCTGAGATACATCATGGCTGGAGGAATTACTCGAACAAACTTTGATGAATTTAAGAGATAAAAGCAGTCATGGTGACATTTGAGATTTAAGCAGATTGGCCTGTTAGTCAACTTAACTGCTGAGGAGGCATAAAAACCCAAATCTGCCATAATGTTCAGCTGTACTGTGATATGTCATAGTTACAGAAATTCACTTGATTTGCTGGATTGTTAATAAAGACACACAAAAAAAAATGCTGAGAAAGTGGTTTGCTTTTTTTTTGTCTACAATTAATTCTAACATCAGTGAAAGTATAGAATTAGAGTCTGGAGGTGGCGCAAACCCTGATGGGTATTCTTATTCAGGTCTAAGGTCCTTATTTATTTGTTTATGTATTTTTTAAGCAGTATATTGTCACAGTGGGTCAGCTGCACTGTTAACCAGTCATCACAGAGTCTACTGGGCCAGGGGTCCTATAGAAGTTGATGTCAGAAAGGCGCATTAGTCTGCTCATAATAACTCATTATATATAAATGAAAAATATTTTTGTGCAGTTTTGGGCACTCATACATGAACTATTAGAGCCTGACCAGTAAAGACTGATAGCGATACCAATATCCCATATTCCCATAAAAGCTGATATTTTTTTCAGACACACAAAACATGAAACTGAATCGACTAACATGTTTCATATATTGTTGTTTATTTATTTATTTATGTATTTATCCGCACTCTCCTGGGCTCTGCTTGGATCAGCTGGTTGTCGTGTCAGCTGGTTCACTCTCTGGTGGACAAACTCTCTGGTGCAATCTCAACTACTTTTCTTCATTTATAAATGCTGATACCGATCAGTTGCTGATAAATCGGAAAATTATTAACATCATCAAATACATGAAAAAAAAATAGTCACACTTTAAGTCTCAAAGATCTGATCATTTAAGCTTTCATAAAGCCTCGTTTGCAAAATATTGTCTAAAAATGTTTATGATATTCTTTCTATTTACTTTTTAATTGCGCATAACGAAATCATCACAGATCATGCAACAATTGCCAGATGCACGATTTTTCGGCTAGTGCTTGAATGTAGCACACCTTTGTGGATCTGTATGGAGCAAATACATGAGCCATCTGCACACACTTTTAATCTGTATAATGAAATAAATGTCACAAATATTTTAGACATACACAGGAAATGTTTTTGAGAAAGATTTTTTCAAAGAAAAAAAAGTTTAATATTTAGCGAGCTTGTGTTTAAATTGCTTGGTATTTGTGTTTATACCGAAACACTCCTTTGTAACTGAAATGAAACATTTTTTTTCGCATACGCCATGTACCTCTATTTTGATACTAATTCCCTCCATATATTAGCCTACAGCCTTGATGCTGTACAATGATATGGAGCTGATAAGCTGTAATGAACACATCTACATGTCACACATTCATATGTGTGACAGGATGCATTACACTTGAACAAAGCCAAAATATCCTAAATTAATAGCAATCAGGAAACTCTGATGACTCTCTCAAGCTGCCCTTGTTTGTGTGTGTGTGTATGTGTGTGTGTGCCCATGTGTGTGTGACCTGGTATCTGTCGGAGTGGTGGGCATCCTCTGACGACAGGGGCGAGACCACAGGAGACTCTCCCTCACGCTTGATGTGCACCGACAGCAGCATGGACTAGAAAGACACAGAGGAATAAAAAAGTCTTTTCTATGCAGATGATCTTTCTACGTTACTGCCTCTGGGACCATAAGCACCATGAGCACTGAACTTGTCCTTGGTTGACAGCTGCTGCATGGGAATAATCGATAAACACAAGAGTAACGCTGTTCCACGATAAATTCAGACCTCAGGATATAAAGTATATAATTTCACTGTTGTAGAGCTAACACTCAAGCATGCCGGGGGTGAAGTGAATTTATTTGAGTGGTTGTGAGCTCTGGGCAATTTATGCCAACACTCTGAAATTGGAGTTGACATGACAATCAGAATATAAAAAGTGGAAGAAGTTCATTAGCAGAAGCAGTTAAAATGAAATCACTGAACTAAGCTGAATATTCAGCTGAGGTTCAAGCACTCAGTGTGGCTGACAAATTGAGCTGAAAGTGTGAGTTCCAGTGACAGAAAGCAGTTCAAGTGTATAAACTGAAGTCAATTAAAAGTAGAAGCAATGAAATAATTTGTAGGAGAAAAGAAGGAGGTGAAGTTTCATAGGTGTGAGACCTGAAAAGACCTGAAGCATCAGCAGGTACGCAAAGACGCTTTTGTCTCTATGAAAGCAGATAAAGTGCAGACGTAGCACAGCCTGACTCAGTTTAACGTGCTCGGTTCAAAACTACTACTGCTGACTGTGAAACTCTGGAAGAAGTAAAACATTACATTCTGAAATTCATGTCACTATTGCAACACATCTGTTAGACAGGAAAAGGAAAAGAAGCCAGAGTGAATCCTTACCCTTGGAAAATTTCAAGAGTGTTATTGCCACAAATGCTGAGAGCGACATGTCATTGATGACGACTGTAACCCGCCTGACTTTGTCTATAAAATCCCTTCCACTGATTAGAGTTAATGTTTATGGGACGTTAAGAGGAGTTAGGGAAGAATGAGAGATTGGAAAGAGAGGATTGGGAGAAGGGGGGAAGGCGAGGGAAGGGTAAATATCCGAAAAGGAGGAGTTTAACTGTCTGACATTACGGGATGCTGCCTGTCCATAAATCTGTCCCACAACACTTTGCTCACATGCTCTCTCTTTCCCTGGAATAGACACACACATATAAAACAATATCCTCTTCTAACCCACTCTGCGGCAAAAAGAGTCCAGGGAATTCCACTGAGGAATGAGGAACAGGAAGGTAAAAGAAAGATGTGGAAAAGAGTGAATGGTAGAAGGGGGGAAAAAAGCAATATCACTTTTTTACAAGGCTTAGCTCTGACAGAGTCGTAGCTCTGTGTGTGTGTGTGTGTGTGTGTGTGTGTGTACTTGTTTTTTCATGTGTTCCTGTGCCTTATTTTACAAGGCAGCTATGAAATATTTGTATTTACAGTCGTCTCCTATTAATCAAGTGGAAAGGGGCAGAGCAGAGGCTTAAGTGCTTGACAGCAGTAATCTAATAATAATATGTGAGAAATGACCAACCTCCAGTGCTGCCACAGTAAATTGGACATTATGCATGGTGCTTTTATGCTTGTGTGTGTGTGTGTGTGGTCTTTTCTCCTTTTATCCAGGTTTTAAAAGGTCAGGAATCATTTACCTGAGGCCTTCTGGGAATATGCTTAAGTTTTATCATTACAATATGACATTTAACGGTATTCTATACAGAAATTATGAATGAAGATCTCCCTGAAAATCTGGTCTTTTAAACCAACCAATTAAATCAACACGTGAAAAAAAGGTCTGTTCCTAACAAAAGTTGTGCTTAAGGCTACAGTTAGGTGAGTCACTGGAAATGTCAGAATGTCAGAAACATGCATTGTGTAAATGATAACATATTTATTTATTTGTTTGGGAAAAGGACTTAAATTTGCTCAAATGCACACTGGGTGGTGCAGCATCTCACAAATTTATGTCCGGTCCGACACATATCTCACATTTCCCCCTCACTTTAGCTTAGCAAGTGGGCACAGTACCACATGAGTAGATGTGTCGGGGTTAATCTCCGGTTTAACGCAGCTGGGTGATGCATACCAAGCTGGGAACGACAACAACAGGCCCGTGTGCTTCAGACTGGCCTTCTCCATTCTCCGTGGCCTGCAGCTGAATACTAAACAACATCAGTGTGATGCGCAGTCACGGCTGGAAGAGAAGGCCAGCACTCACCCCTCAACCCGGCATTGTCTGCCTCTCTCAAGTACAAGCCCACCCACAGTGCTGCGAGCACTGCTCTAAGCCCGGGTCAGCACCCAAAGGTGTAAGGGAATGAAAGCGAATAACCCGAATTGTATATTCTTTTGCAATCCAAGTGCACATCTTCCTGCAGTGGCCTATAAGACTTTGACCTGGTATTTAGTCAGCGGCTAAAACAAATGTGGAGATAATGAAGGAACTTGATGACTTTAGGGATCTTTAGGAAACACAAATCCAGAATACACCGCAGACCGACATAAATGATTTACCAGAGCACGAAACGCCTGATGAAGGATGAATTAATATATCCTACTTTTATAAACTGTTGACACCCTGTTAATAGGAGAGTTCACACTATAAAGGTCTGGAAACCGATATTTCAGCAGTACATTGGACACTGGCTTATACGGACAGGGTGAATACAGTAATCCACTATAATTTGTTTAATGCAACCCTGCGTAACCCCTGCCAAGCCACAACAATGAACACAGTGCCACAATCAGGCAGTTTGGATGATTTCTCCGATATGAGAAAAAATTTCTTTCCTTTTCTTCTCCTACATATGGTACAGACATGGCAGATGGCCGCCCCTCCATGAGCCTGGTTCTGCTGGAGGGTTCTTCCTGTTAAAATGGAGTTTTTCCTTCTCACTATCGCCAAGTGCTTACTCAGAGGGAGTCGTCTGATTGCTGGTACTTTCCCTGTATTATTGTAGCGTCTTTACCTTACAATATAAAGCACCTTGAGGGTACTGTTGTTGTGATATGGTGCCATTTAAGTAAAATTGAATTGAGCTGAACTGTATAGTCATTACAGCGCTCACATGTTGTGAGTAGAGTCGGAGTATTATATTGGGTCTTTTGACAATACGAGATGTCAGAAGTCTTTTAAAAGAGGCCTCAGCCAGATGAAGACACAGAAACAGTAAGAAAAGGCTTCCTGATGGGATCATAAATCCGTCTTCTTGCAGTTTGATCTCTTCTGTCTTTTTTTCTGCTTGCATTCTCTCTCTGACTCTCTAATTGGAACAATCACAGTACAGTGCCTCCTGGTCCTGCTGCCCGTTAGACAAGGGAGACTGGCGCTGGTTTGTATAAGATGTAAGACAGTCCAGCTGATTTCCCCTTAGTGCAGCAGAGAGGAACAGAAACTGAGTAACAACTCTGGTAGCTGGATGGTAAAGAAAGTACGCTGCACTACTGAAAAGTAGGTATAATACTTTGAAATCTAACCTTGTCTAATCCTGCATCTTCCTCTTGTTTTTAGCTTACATGAATATGTATATGTTTCTATCTAAATACAATTTATTATCTCCTACACACAGTACACAGTGTTGCTTTAAACACTGAGCGTGGGCTCACCTTGGGGGTTCCTGGAGTGGCCGCTCCATCCTTGGATGACGGGTTCTTACTGCTGCAGAGAAAGAAGAGAAAAAGGAAATCAGTGAGATCACATGACGTACTGTGATCCTGAGTGGATTCTGGTTACGTTCTGACTCCCTGCACACACTAACACACAACTAATATCTGTGAATTTCACCTGCGACTCACTTGCAAATCAGTTTATCAGACTCTTGATAATGTTTTCATTCACTTTCATCCATCACTCTTCTATTCTCATCGACCCTTTATGATGACTTATAAATGCAGCAGCGCACTCAGTTCACTTGGCTGCTTTCACTCATCATGTTCATACACAGAAGCAGGCAATAAGATGATTAACAGTGGTTTGACTTGTCAGCATATAAATATTATAAGGACAAAGGTGCCCAAAGCTGGGGTTAGTTGCATACCAAATAAATGCTTTTATTCTTCAAATACAGACACATTACTTTATTTTGATCCCCCCCTCCTCACATTTACGGACCCCTCTGCTCTCAATTGATTTTTCTCATTTTGTTTTTTATTGCCCACTTTTTCTTCTCTTCTTCCCCCGCCTTGTTGTCTACCTTCACCATTATTCTCGCCCATCTGCTGCCTCTGCCATCCTCTGTCTCTCAGACTTTCACCCAAACACAGAGATAAATTTCTCCGAGCTTCACAAATCCTTGCGACAAGCCTGACGTTGACGAAGCGAGACAGGATTGTCATGTTTGCTTTGAGACCCTGTTAGCTCACCAGACCCTCTTGGACACACACACACGAACAGATTCAAACAGACGGTGGCAGACCACAAAGGGAAGGGAGCCTAAAACTGAATTGAGCACAACCTCTAATCTGACAGCATGCCCTGGTAGACAAGGAATTTCCTTTTTCAATGGATGGATGGGTGGGTAATAAGAATAAGAAGCCTTATTTATATGTCACTTATCTGAAGTGAAGAATTTACAAAGTGATGCACAAGGAGGAGTAAGAGCAAGACAAGGGCAATATAAGAGCGGTGAAATATAATGCAGAGCTGCACAGAGGAAGCTAGGAGTGGGGAGGGTGATGGACGTGTCAAAGTGCAGTGGAAGTATTTGTTCCTATAAAGGACGTGTGAAGCAGGGTGTAGTTCTTTTTATATATATCCTAAAAAATGATTCTGTGCACAGCAGCACTCGGTGTATCACTGTCAGCGTATCTAAAGAGGAACCCGGCTAACTTTACACATAAAGCCTGGTTTATGTGTAAACCACATAAACCAGGCTTTTTTCATTTTTTTTTCATTTTTCAATCAAATTAAAACAAGATTCCTTGAATTATATTGATCCGACACACATAAAAAAGTGTGTTTCAGCCTGCTTTCTGTGTTTCAGCTCTTTTGCTCTTTCCTGATGAGATTATGGCCTCAGTTGGGAGTTTCAGTTCACACTGAATACATCGTTATGTTGTGATGTTTTGTAAATGTAAGTCCTAAAACATATTCAATCAGGTGATCGACAAGCCTCTAGTTTGGGCAGGGATAGCTCAGTAGGTAGAGTGGTGGCCCCGTGATCGGAAGGTCGGGGTTCGATTCCCCTGAACAGCTACCCTGAGGTACCCCTGAGCAAGGTACCGTCCCTACACACTGCTCCCCGGGCGCCCAATGGCTGCCCACTGCTTCACTGAGTGAATGGGTTAAATGCAGAGAGGGATTTTCCCCACGGGGACCAATAAAGTACACACACTTTTCTTCTAGTTGATAATTGTGCAGTTACTCCTGGTTTCTCAGCCAGATCACATTGAACACCAAAAATGGCACTCAGATTAAGGCTTTAGCAACAGAATGCTGCTAAACAATTGGTGATGCCTCAGAGGCCATTTACATCTTTTACATACAGTCTATGCTTCAACAGAGCTCTTTGTGGGAGGCTTCTGTGATTGGAAACATTTGCATCCTTGAGTTCCCTAACCTCACCAGCAGGGCTGGTATCTGCTCCTTTATGCAAGCAGGAACAGGATGAGCACTGTCAGACCCTTACAGGTTGTGATTCATGTATAAAAGCATGTGGAGGCCATGCAAACCAAGGAATATCACTTTGAGTTGCTGAAATTAAATTTCAGCAAACTCAGTTTTTCTCTTAGATTTTTGAGGTGTTGTTCTCTGTAGGTTGATCATTTCCAACTCCATCAAATAATGTGTCATCCTTTGGTTCCTGGCACATTATCCAGTCCATATCAGTATGGATATATCCATCCTGACTTTTTCCCATTGAGATCTGATGAGTCTTCCTAGTTGTTGTTTTTTTTAGCAGTGTATATAATTAAACTAAAATACAACAATGCAAGGATTTGAACTTGAAATGTACTCCAATTTACTTTGAAATATTTGTGCTATACAATGTCACAAGAAAAGAAATAGGGTTAGTGAGTAGTTAGTTATTAGTTGTTATTTTCTCTCATGTCTGATTATTTTTGTCTAGAAAGTACGCCTGTGGTTCGGTGTGCAGGATGGGTGTTTGCTTATGTATATATTCTATGTCTCTGTTGATGGTGAATCTGTATGTAGAAATCTGCCATTACCTGTGGATGTGCATATGCACCTGCATGTTGTTTTGCAACTGTGTGTGTAACCACAGAACAGCAGGCCACACCTCCGCCAACAAAGAGAATAAACATGGGTGACACAGTCAAGCTGCCGTGTAATGCAGGGGAATCTGCCAACACCCCACCACCAGCACACTCACAAACACACACCTTTCTTACCCCCTTTTCTATCTTTGTCTCTGTCATCTCTCTCTCCTTCTCCCTCTATCGCTCTTTTATTCATTACCTGGAACCTCTGCAGAGGCATCAACAATAACAGCCAACTCTACCTGCTTGTTGACAGTGTCAAACAGCGACAAGAGAAGGAGGGAGACAGAGAGAGGGGAAGAGAGCGAGAGAGGACAGCAGTTGCATGCCTGCCACGATGGGAGAAAATTGCCACGGTGACAGAGGGGGTGATAGAGAGATGAAAGAGGAGTTGGGGTAGCTGGGGGGGATGAAATGTGAGGTGAGAGAAATGTGGTGAGAGAGAACGAGCGGGCAACATAAAGAGAGACATCGTGCGAGGGAAAGATGAAAGGAGACAGAAAACTAGAGAAAGGAAGAGAGGGAGTGATGGGAGAGTTGGTGTGCTGCCGCTTCTTCTCAGCGCTTTGCACACATCTGCGTGCCCAGTTCTATGAATTTTTGATAGCGAGGGTTATAGGGCTGGAAATTCCAGCTGGCTGCCATGTCAAAGCGAGGAGAAGAGTGAGGAAATGAGCAGCAAAGCAAAGTGAAACAAACACACCAAGCAAGTAGGGAAAAGGAGGCAAGGATGAATGACAGATGCGATTTAAAATGTGTTGCTAATGAGGCACGTGTAGGAGAGGTAAGGGCATGTCGGTGCCTCACACAAATAGTTTTTATAGCTTTTTGTAGAGGTAGGTAGATTGATCCAAATATATATAAATATTATCAGTGCTGACCGATACTAGCACAATAGTATCGATACAAACGCTGGTATTGGTATCAGATTGATACCAGCATGATAGGATTGATATTGTGTTTATAGCCTGTAAGTTTAATATTTAGTCCAAACAATGGCGATAAATCAGTTTTCAGGGTTTTTGGGGAAATGAAACTATATACTCAACCATGTATTTTAAAAAACAACAAATGCTGACACAAAGTCCTTTAGAGACAGGCACATTTACATTGCAGTTCTTTAAAAAAACAGAAAAAAACAACAGTTTCAAAATGCATGAAAAGCTGAAAGGCGTTTTTTGTTTTGTTAACAAATTATTGTGGAAATTAAAACTCGGAGTGATTTAGTGGTCATTAAAATGTGTTCAGAAATGACAAATTAATGAGTCTTGTCACACTGTTCTTCCCTGCATAAGCTGACTTATGGTTTAATATATTGGTATTGGTAACGTAGGCCCGATGATTACTTGGTATCAGATGGATATTAAAATTTGCAGGTCAAAAGTAACATTTTGTCATTTACCATCCACAATAAAATAAAACTGGAATAGAATAGAATAGAATAAACCTTTATTGTCCCACGGATGAGAAATTTCAGTGTTACAGAGCTCTTACAGCAAGGAAAAAATTAAATATAAAAGGAAGACAGAAGGTGGTCCTATAAACATAAGCAGCCGAATTGTGCATAGGTAACAATGTACAGAATATGTATAGAAAATTTTAAAAATTGTAGGAAGATATGTATAAAATGTACAGGGTTATGTATCAAATCTAGAAATAGCTGTGGAAATTTGATCCATTATATTAAAACATTCTAATTATTACATTTTTAGTTCATCATCATTTTTAACAGGGTCTAAAAAGTTGATTTCTGTATAGACGGTTTGTCTTTGTGAATTTTATGTTATGCAAAGGTACACATAATAACCATTACATACACTAATATTTAAGTTACTATTGTTATTTATTTTGCAATCATTTCTTGTGCTGAAGCTCTTTTCACAAATATTAAGGGGACACTTCAAGAACTCTGGAGGCTGTTACACCTTCCTGAGTCAATATTTTAGAGATAAAGCTAGAAAATCTGCTGTTGTCGATGCTGTTCATACAGCAACTCAAAAGTGTCTTATTTAAGTCCCTTGCACCCTGGTAAACACAGTCCATTTACACTTGAAGGTCATCTTATTGCTCTGCATGTAAGTAAGTAACTCTGCCAAAGGAGTAATGCGAATTGCTTGGCACATTTGTTTGCAGAATTTTACTCGTCAGGGCTGGGTGTGACTTTAATGTTTGGCTTTCTGGTTGCTTTTGCTTCCGCCTGCTTGCCAAAGCACTTTATAAACTCTGCTTTATAAAAAATACTATTAAAATAAAGCTTATTATTATTATTATTATTATTATTATTATTATTATTATTATTATTATTATTATTATATTCAGCTTTGGAAGTGCTCCAGATCTGAATCTGGATTTTTTTTTAATGAAAGATTGTAAGAAACAAGGCAAAATTTGGAATTAACTATTTACTTATACATAGTTTGAGATATGAAAATCACTGTCAAGTTTTCAACACAATATATGAAACTATTCAGATCCAGATATCCTTCCAGAGATTTAATAATTTGTGTATGCAATAGTGGCGATTTCCAGCTGTGTCACAGATATGCAATCTCAGACTGCTGTAATTGTTTAAAGTATCCCTTGATCTCACTATGCAACTACTGTGGAGTATTTCACATTACTCAGACTATAAGTATCAACAACAGGATTGTATATTTATCCTATTTTTTAGTGCTAACAGTGCCTGTTGAATTTGGTTTGAACAGTAATTTGATGGAATTCAATTAACTAAATCTGCCCAGTCACCTCCATCCTGGTTAAATCTGCATTGGTCGTACACAGTGCTACTGAATTGTAGTGACGGCCTCACACCTCCACTCCCAACCAGAGGGGGCAAAGAGAGAGAACCAACTAAAGATGAATAAGTCGTTTCTTGGTGGATGGAGATGGAAGGAAGAATGGAGGGATGGCACTAAACTCAAGGTACTGATTGCTTTTTGCCTTTTTGTGTCATCTGGTGGAGAGGTGGGGGCTTGAGTGGAGGCAAATTGATTATAGAGGAGGAGGGAGAAGAAGAGGAGCAGAGGTGAGGAGGGGGGCGATGGGGTATGTAGATTACTTTGCCTGCCCCAAGCCACCTGACATGTACAGGGCATGATAGATTTCCATTTGCCAAACTGTGTGTGTGTGTGTGTGTGTGTGTGTGTGTGTGTGTGTGTGTGTGTGTGTGTGTGTGTGTGTGTGTGTGTGTGTGCGTGTGTGATTTCGATGACTAAACATGAAAAGCCATGTCCTATGAACAAGTGACAGAGCTCGCAGTCAGAAGAGAGGACACGGACTGACAGTTGCAATCAAACACTTGTACATTTACATGAAGCAAGAGCAACTAGGACAGAAGGGCAAAACAAGTAGAAACACACGCTTCTTAAACACTCACACAGACACACACAGACACCTTCGTTTCCATACCCACAGTTCTTTCATTCAGCAAGCGCTGCTCGTCATTAAAGGCACATTTACCACAAATTGGACCAAATTCCCACTGTCACTTCCAATAATGGCAGCTCCCATGCAGAGAGCCAGAGAGAAGGAGACACGGTGGGTGGGTGTGCCATTTAGAATTGGCGGGTTAGTTTTGTGATATAATGCACACAACCCTTTCGGTTTTATCTCCTGTTCACATTTCTTTAGATCACTCACAGATACAGAGGAAGTCCTTTTTACAAAATATCTTCAACATCTCCGTTCTTGCTTCTTCTTGTTCCCTTTTTCTGTGGTGTACGTATGGATCTAATGGCAAGTAGGCAAATCAGCCAGCTGTGACATTAGCCACCATCCCTTCTCAGGCCGGGATGATGCTATTTCCTTAAATAACTGTGTATGTGTGCGAGAGAGAGACAGAGAGTGGACATCGGAACTAGGCTTCCCAGGGCTAGCATCCCACACTGCCAGAAGGAAGGACAAACTACTAACCTTTATTAATTATTAAAACACACAGACACCTTGCCATATTATTAGATGATGCATGGCTCCCACGTTTCCCCAGAGCTCCCAGCCACATCTCCTGGCTTTCTGGATGACAACTGAACCAATTCTATCCACGGATTAAAGCCTTGAGATGTGGCTGATAGCTCAGAAAATAAAACAAGATTTGTCCAATAATGCTTGGCTGACGCTCAGTTCGATCATTTCCTCCATTCTTTTCCATACATATATGTTCTTCATAATTATACATTTACATTTTCTTTGTTTTCAATTATTTGTTTGATTCGGGGGGGTTTTGGCAGGCAATCCATCTCTGTCTATCGGTTTCTCCTGCACTGTCCTATTTTCCATACATCTGCCCCTCCCTGAGCCTGGTTCTGTTGGAGGTTTCTTCCCGTTAAAAGGCAGTTTTTACTTCCAGCTGTCAGCTTACTCAACGGGGGTTGTTTGATTGTTGGGGTTTTCTCTGTAGTATTGTTGGGTTACAATAGAAAGCTCATAGCTATATAAAAAATATATAAATTGACTTATTCAGGAAGTTAGGCCATTGCTTTGGTCTTAAATGACTGGAACTGACTTAAAATCAAAAGATCATGAAGAAATAACTAATGAAATATAGATGAGATGTGAGAAAAAAGAACAGTAAAGGCCTATTAAGCAAAGGGGAAAAACAAGATTTAGGAAGAGATTGAAAAAAATCAAATAAATAAATGATTGCAAATAAATGGAAGAGAAGAAGCAAGTGGTATAGTGTTTGGACAGGGAGAGACAAGAGGAGGGGTGCGCACAGTGTAAACGGTGGGTAAATGAAGTGTGATTTCCACTTGGGGTGACGCTATCTGTTGCCCTTTTCCTTCAGGTTAATGGGTACTATCATAAAACTGGGCCGCTTAGGTGGACACTGGGTCACAACCACAGACGTAGGTGCACACACAAAACCCGACGCGTGGTCAAGGTGAAATATGGGTCCTAATGGTTGTGTTCCATCGTTACAAGGGCTCGGAGTTGATTTGTCCATCGTAAAACAGCTCGTGCAACTGCCGTGTGGGGAAAAAAAGGGGGCAGAAGTGAACTTGAGGTCACGGGTTTGAATCCTAATCCCTGTAGGAAACACTTAGCTTTGCATTGACAGCGTGCTCCTGCCTTTTATGCAGATTTATGATACCAAAATCTTTGCTCAGAATAAAAAAATAGGTCAGCGAGCTGGACATAAAATCTTAGTTGAAATACAGGCGGTAATAATCCTTCAAAATTACTCTGTACCAACCAATACATCCTGGTAATATGATTCATGTTATTTAATTTAATGAAATTATGAGACATCCCAATTTGTTATTTCATACCCAGGACAATGTTTCCAATTCAAGATTACAGGATTCATTATACCTTCATTCAACCGTGTCCGTTATTGTAAGACACCGGGCTAAACTTAGCTTTAAACATATAGATGTTAATAGTTTGTGTAACGTGTTCGTGCACAGTTTCATTGAGACTGACCCAAACAGAGTATATAAAGACATATATATATATACATACCTACAGATCATTAAAGTAACGCTTATAATAAATATTTGACTCTGTTAAGGAGAGAGCTCAGTCCTACCTGAGGCAGATGGTGGCTAGCCTCTCTATCTCTGTCTCCATGTGTTCCTGTAGCTCTCCAGGCCTGAGCAACACCTGGCAGATGGGACAGACTGGAGCCTGGCTGTCATACAGGGACATCTTCTTTTTACCTGGAGACACCAATGAAGAGAAACACACAGTGACAAGAATATCAGCATAAGAGATATAAGCACCCAACCATTTCTTTTTTCATGCACAAACCTTACATGTTGAGTGTGTTTAATTATATGGTATCAGAATGCACCTCAAATATTATTTTTTTTTACTGTTGTTTTATTACTGCAGAATCCCATCGAGTACAAATGAAGCTAGTGTGGAAGTACCTTAAAAATGTAGTTTTACAATGGCCAGCAGGGGGCAACTTCTATGAGTGCAAAAATGGGTCCTATCGCAAACCCTACTACTCACTCCATCTACAACTTCAGTTGGCATTTTCCTAAAGAGATCATTGTTTCAGTCACTCACGTCAAGCCTTATTTACGTCACAATGGTCACTTCATAAAAATATGTTTCCATACAGTAAAAACATGCAGGGTATGCTTTAGGACACGGCCACATTGTGATTGACAAGATGCTAGAGCATGTGGTGACCTTGCATAAATTCCCTACATAAATCACTTTGCATAGTATTGACAGACTTTGTCATGTGGCAGTGAAGCAGAAGTTTTAGGGTAAAAGCAAGAAAATGGGTTTAAGGAGCCAGCATCTTCAGCAAGCATCACAGTATACATTTCTGGATTACACGCTTACAAAAGCGGACTAGAGTGCTCTACAGTATCCATTGTGTAATGTTGCTCTGGGGTCAAAGCGGGAGGTGGTGTTAGAAGGGGAGTTAAAGAAGTGTCTGCCATGGATGAGATAATGCTGTATAGAGTCTGCCAACACTACCTCACTTCATTGTCCTTGATCAGCAGGGCTTAGGGTGGGGCCACACCTGTTTCTCTGTGTGTGTGTTATTGTGTCGAGCACTGCGTACGTGTTGGAACGTATGCATTTTTGTGTTTGTGCTTTGTCTGTCTAACCTGGCTAAAAATACCATCTATTGAAATCATATCAGTGCTTAGAGTTGGAGGACACTTCCTGATTTCCTGGATAGCCAATCAAATAGTTCTTTTTTTAGCCCGCAAACAATAGGCCCCGCCTCAGCCAGGACATCCCGTTTAGACCGCTTGTCACCACGGCAACAAGGGGACCAGGTACGGGGGGACTCCCTGTCTGCCTTGTCTTTAGTGAACCGTTTTCTTTTTCTTTTCTTTTTAATGCACAAACATTACATACACACACTCCTATACATACACATGCAGCCCTTGGGGGGCATTTATCCTTGCTCACAGTTTCCTGCAAAAGGACTCATGATACAACTAGTAACGGAAAGCACGCACAAACGCCCCCCCCTCCACAACCCACCTCTGCCGCTGCCCTTCTTTTCTCAGAGCGTGTGCATGCATACTAGCCTCCCATTCTCCTGCACTGCTGCTTAACACAGCCCACAGCACTGGACACGTTAAGTGACTTTGAAAAATAGGTAATCGATTACCTTCTTTCTCTCTTTTTCTATCTCTTTTTTACATGTTTCCTTCTCTTTTTTGCATTCTGATTCTCCCTACAATCCTTTCTTTGCTTTTTCTTTCTTCCTTTCTTTTTCATCTTCTTTATTTTCATTTCTTCCTTTCTCTCTCCCTTACTACCCCTCTCCTTTCTGATTTTTCCCTTTCTCTCCTTGTTTCTTCATCTCCTTTTTAGCCCCCCTCTCAGCCCCTGCACACCTCTTCTCTCCCCTTTATTGCTTTGACAAGATAATTTGAGTCATGCTGAAGCCGTCCGCCATCCGCCACAGCAAACAAAGAACAGATCCAATCCCCCTCTGCAGCCGATGGGGCCGCTTTCTATTCTGCAGACAAACGCACTCCTGGAGGTCGCGGACACGCACACAAACATATGCTTGATTATTGTTGAGTCCAAAAAAAAAGTGCAAACGCTTGTTTTGCATGGTGAAAGTTTACTTTGTGCATTTCAATAAGAGGCGATTTTCTTTTGAAGTTTGAAAGATTCTCTGTGAATGAGGTTATTTTTGTACTGGCAGACTGATGATAAAGACATGTAGCTGCACATTTACGACAACAGAAAAGCAACAATGAATAAGAGGAAAACATACTAAAGTGGAGGAATGATTGGGTTGTGTGAAGTGGTTTGAATTCAAGCTTCTTTTTTTTTACAGAAAATATAAACCAGCACATTAACACCAAACATATTCCTAAGACATGCAAATTTGACTTTCTCTGATGTGATGGAATAAATACAGCTAACAGCTTTTAGATCCAACAGAGATGGGAACTGCTGTCACCAAAAACATAAAAGCAGCACTAAACGTAGACCAAAATATAAAATCAGCCCCAATATGTGAAAATAAATAGATAATTTCATAAATCCTGCAACACAAAGCATTCAATCAAACACTGAAGGGAAACTTTGCATTTTTTTAAAAGTCAGATTTTTTTTAAAGCTAAAAAATATTAAATATATCAGCAACAAGTGTGTCTCCATATGAAAATTATCACATAAAACTTGCAAAATTAGCAAATGAAACATCTTTCAGTCAAAAACGGGCCCCCAATTAATCCAAATGTAATGCCATGCAATGTTTATTTGCCCTAAAAGTCTTGTCAAAACTTTCACTCTTCATCTCTTTCTTTTCTTTTTTTAAACTTGTTTGCTGTTGTGGTGTTTCCTCCTTTCCTGTCATTTTTACTTCCCATGTACTTTCTCTTTTCCCTTCCTCTTATTTTTCCCCTCTCCCTGTCAAGTGTTCCCCGAGGGAAGTGAGCGATGGGGAGAGCCGAACGGACAGAAAAATCCCTCGAAGGAGGAAGAGGAGGAGAAGCCGGGTTGGGAAGGATGGGGGGGTGGGGTGGTGCTGATGTGATGCGATGTCGCACACCCTGCTTGTCAGCCCCTTAAAGATGATTAATGTTGGGGCGACACGCAAACACATGTGTGTATCCACATGTCCCGCTTTAGACTTCACACACTCAAAACACACACACTCCCCCTGCGGCGCGACGAGGGAGCGTTTAATCTTGGGTAGCACGGGGAAGGTACCGGAGCTGCAGAAGATGGAGGGGGGGTTGGAGCGAGAAGACGGCTGGACAATAACAAGGAAATAGGACTGACAGGACTTTTTAGTGTTGAGACTCCTCAGTGAAGCACTGGTCGGCTGCCCAAACGAGGGGATGGATGGATGGATGGAGCAGGAGAGCCAAGAGAAGGTGTGCGTCTCCTTGACAGCCATGATGGAATATAGGCCTGAACCCTCCCACCCTACAAAATGTACCAAGATGGATCGTCTTATCTCTCTTTCTCTGACTTCCTTTTCCTTCTTTCTCCTTCTCCCAGTCCCTCCATCTGTCTTTACTTACTCTTTCTCCTTTCCAGATCACTATCTCTCTCTTTTCCTCTTCTTCCTTATTTCCTCCTGTCACCACTTTCCCTTCTTTCATCTCTGTCACTTGAGCCAGTTAACAGATCTCAGTGGCTTCACAAAACAATAAGTCACCGAGCTGGCAGGAAGCATATCCTCTGACTTTTCTGATCGCCAGTCTGATTTATTTACTGACTGCTGTACTGCTGACACGACACTTACGCTGGTCTAACACGACAAATTGAGTAGCTAATTCCTAGTTCAGCTTTGTGAATCTGTCAGTGGAATGACTGAAAATTGCAAAGATAACCATAAGGCTGTTTTACTTTTTAGTTTTTCAAAAAACAGAAACGATGTTAAATTTAATCAATGATCACCCCAAAATACGTCCTTGATTAGGCTTTTCAAATAATGAGAGGAGCCGCACATACAAACACAACTAGACAGGCAATTACAGACAGCAGATGTTGAGGAGGAGAGAGCCAGATCATGTGGAAGAGTGGAGAGCAAAGAGGAGGGATCTTCTTTTCTTTGTCATCCCTTCCTTTCCTTTTGTTTCACTTTCATCCTAATAGCCTTACTTTCTGCTTTCCTAACTCTACATGCTCATTTTCCCCATTTGCAACACTGCTTTTTCTTCCTTTCTTCCTTTTCTTCCTCATATCCCTTTTCATATTTATTGTGCACTAATAAATATGAGTGATCCTTATTTTCAAAAATCTCAGACTTCAGAGGCTGCGCAGCCAAAAGCTGCTGAAAATTGGTAAATCATTAGTCATCACGAAATGATGAAAACGTTACTTCAACTGGCGTTCTTCTTCTTCTTCTTTGTAAAATAAAAACTTTTTCTCCTCTCTCTTCAGTCTCTTGGTGCTACCCCGTCTCCCTCTTCCTTGCTTTGGTCCAGATGAAGTGGGAATCAATAGATGCTAGATAGCACAGGCTCCCAGTCTCAGACTACAATGAGCTGAGGTAAAAGGCCACCTCCAGAGAGGACAGGGATTGTCAGCTCAATACTCTCTCTCAATGGGACCAGAGATAAAACACCATTTGGGGTCTCCTCATGGCTCAATGGGCTAAGAGGCAAAGCATGTACTCACAAAACTGTGGCTCCAAATCCCATTTAATGACCTGGATTGCGTGTCATCTGTCTGCCTTTATCTCGCCCAACATGGCGGCCTCTAAGGAAGCAGGAGATTGGTGTACACTGAACCCTTCCCTTTTTCTATGCGCTTCTTATAGCTTGCCTTGATGGCACATGGCAGTAAGAAATGCACTTTTCTAAAAACTTACAGATTTTTGGGTTAAACGTGTCCTCTTTATGAAGGAGTTTAGAAAGAAACCAAAATGTTTGACTTTCCATGAACTTGATCACTCTTTTCTATTTTTTATATCTTCTGCAAGGAATTGTATTGACTTGTAAAGGGTGCACACAATCAGCTAATGAGCACCGAGCATGTAAACTGGATTTAAGCGCAACAGTAAGAGTCAGAAAACAGGAAGGCCGGATTTATGGCTTGGCATATACAGAGTATGTTTGTATGCTACGTTCGCACAAACACACCGCAACAGGCACACTTGCACATTCCCCAAATGGAATTACAAAGTGTCTACATGTAGAGGCTGTTTTTCTGTCCTTGAACAACTGTCTTCACCTTATGTGTATACACACACACATGCGCGCGCACACAC